ATAGATTTACTTAATTTATACGCTGTACATTCAGATGTGTGGAAAGAAGATATAGTATTATAGCCATGCAGTAATCTAGAGCCTGTGTTAAATGGATTCTTAAGAAAGCGTGGTGGATGTTAGGTATGTTAATATAGAATCGATTATAAATCAAGACACAACATGAGATGAATTAGTATATCCGCCCTTTTCGCATTTGAAGATTGGTCTGAAAAGGCCATTGACACCCGAGAATCTGCATCGATAGATCAATAAATCGATAATCGCAACCTCCAAGTATCATAGACATGCATCGATGTAAATCATTAAGAAAATAAAAAAGAAAAACATGTAAACTCTAATAAATATAAAATTAAATCAAATAAAGTATGAAATTGACGCTATTTCCCAAAGTGTTTCTTTTCTATAACTCAGTAACAATGTATAAGATATCAAGGATGTCAAACAAATGATTGAAATATCCAGTAAATATTGAATGAGGAAAGAGCAGGTATGTAGTACATACAAGATACAAAACTGTATACGAGTACATATATATATATAGGGTCTTTAATAATTTATTCCCATATAACCGTGTTACTACTTTGGGAGAAAAGATCGATGTCCTTCATTACATTATAGCGGAACGAATGCAAAATTAATCAAGTTACGAAAAACGACTACAAGGTTTATTTATTCATCGTGAACACCGGGTCGCAATTACAACAATTTATCATTATTAAAGATTCAAATAAGAGTCAAATACTCTAAAGCGGTTTTGTTTTTAAGCACAAAAAAATAGTCAGGAAGAATCCTAGAATTTTCGAAACGGTAAAAATGAAACTAAATGCATGAGAGAGAGAGAGAAAGCACATGATATCTGTATCAGGAGTTCTTAAATTATTTCTCTTTTTCAATTACCAACAGCTAAAGCACATACGACAGTCTCACGCTTTTACTAATTCACAGTTTACGACTTATCTGATTTGTCGCTTCTCAAATGAAAACACCAACAGACACCTGGACAACTTACCTTCCTACACTTAAGATATAATCCCTCTGCATTAATCCCCCTCAATTTCTATCAGATATAGGTAAGCCTCTCCTAAGCTTTTAACAGTATCTTTTTTTTTTCTTTCTACCGAGGTAACTTCATTAAGCAGGAATCGCAGAGCTGCATCGATCGATGCGCCAATCCGGGCTTCCTGCAGTAAATCAATGTACCATTGTCAACGAAAAGGCGGATCGGTCAATTTTAGGAGTGAAGAATCAAATAACAGGACGTAGTAGCAAGATCTTTGATGGATATTTCATTTGCCAGTTTCCTCTTGACGTCGAATCAAAATTGTGTATCAAAACAAAGATCTTTTGGAAAATGCCCCCTTAAATTATTTTTGTCCCCCTTTCTGTGAGTCCGTCTGTCTGTCTTTCTATAACACTTTCGTATCCAGATGATATCTCTGAAAGTACTCAAGCTTTTCCAATGACATTCCATATCTTTTGCAGACCTTGATTGTTTTTGAGGTCCAAAGATCAAGGTCACAAATTCATAAATCTTCTGAAATAGTACACTTTACCCGTTTCCGGATGATATCTCAAATGTAAACAAGCTTTTGTAATGAAATTAGATACCATGACTCCCAGTGACTTAAAAAAGACCTCTATTGACTTCGAGGTTAAATGGTCAAGGTCATTACATAAAATCGTTTCCAAAAATCATACCAATTTCGAAATAGTGATCTTATGGACATGCGCAACGTACCTTACCTACTGATAATTTTTCAAGATATTCTTAATTTAAGATTATAGTGCCATCAGGTGTTCGTAGACAAAAATTCAGCATGCATCACAGGGTTCGACACTAACGTTAGTCCGTTAGTCTCAGACTAATACATTTTCATTCGGACTAATAAAATATGTGGCTATTAGTCCGAACGGACCAATAAAGAATATGAATAAATTACCGAACTTTTACTAAGAAATCCCGCGTGTATTTTTAGATTTCTAGCTTTTGGCGGGAGTTACGCAATACCGGGTCAATTCAGCGCTTAATTTTTCGACTGATCAATATGAAGTATAAGGTTTAAGCGATCATGATTTAGTATGACACTTTTAAGAAAGATGTTGGACGTTTTGGATGTAATGTAAAGATAAAAAAAAACGAGATCGGGAATACGATCGTACTTGCTGATTGCGATATTTCATGAATCTGTGGAATAATATATTTCACGTAAATACTTTGTTTATTTCAAAAAATAATACGTATATTAATTGTCATGTTAAATTAATGTTAAAAAACATTGATGTTTCTTTTTTTTGACGGACTAATAAAATCGCGTGCGGACTAGTAAAAGTAATGAAGCACTAGTCCGGCTGGACTAAAGCCTTAAAAAGTTAGTGTCGAACCCTGCATCACCAGGGGTTTTGAAAAGATATCAATTGATGTAAATTCTTGTATAATTCAGAGTTCCTTTAAGTATTGGAACTCTTCAACTCCAGGGAAAAAGACAGTAAAGTTACAAACTACGTTGCGTATGTCTTCAATGAGGGATTCTTGTCTGGTTTCTAAAAGATATAGTCAATTTATATTTGCTTAATATATGTCTTATATATTTAGATGTATTGCATCTATTGATATATTACAAATTGAATATGATCTTTTAAATCCCTTACATTATGTAAGGGATTTAAAAGATCATATTTTTCTTTCCTCCTCTTAATTGTACAACTTTAAATAGAATGGTAAGCTGAGTTTATGAAAATACTCCCTTTTTCTGCTTCTCAAAATTACTAAAGAACATTAATAAAGTTAAATTTTTTAAACAATTAGAGACTTAAATAAATTTTCTTTTGTAACTAAAAATAATAATAATGGACAGAAGTTTTAAAAAATATAAAATAAATAAGATTTTCTGAACAAACTGAACGGATCCGGGAATTGAAGTTAGGGGCAAAAAGTAGGCAGGGGGTCTGGGGGCCACCTTGAGGCCCCCGGATTCTAGAGATTTTGTAGGGTAAAAATGAGGTCTACAGAGTAGACATTTTAACATTTTCTCGACGAAACTATGATTTACGCTAACTTTGACAATTTTAAGGGGGCGCGCGCCGGGTGCGCCCCCCTTTAAATCCGCCACTGAAACTACAATCTTGTTAGCTTTTGAAAGCTTCAAATCCAAGTACAGATTTGAGCAAAAAAATCAGTAAAAAGTCTTTTTTCTCGCTTAGTAAATAGTCAAAACTTTTTGTTTTTGTATCATTTTGTATCTTTACATAACTACTTTACCATATGTGAAAAATTTAAATATATGAAGCATATAAAAATAACTAATAATCCCCTAGAATTTCAGAAAAATAGAGGAAATTCTGATTAGCCAATATCTAATTCATTTAAATTATTTATGTCAATTTGGTAGTATCCTCTGATAGACTCTATATGATAACATCTTTTTTTATGCAAAAAGAAAAGCATTAATCTTTTAAAACAGAAGTAGGCATCACATGATTGGCAAAAATTTTTTTTTATTATATCAAGGAAAAAGAAAATGACCTTGACCTGACATTGCTTTTAAAATAATCCAGTTAATCCAATTGATATTATCACTTAGTGATATTGTCTTCTTGAATCTGAACCAGATGATATCTTTGAAAGTAATAAGCTTTCCAATGAATTTTTATAACTCCCTAGGTCACAAGGCTAAAGGTCAAGATCAAAAATTCAAATACAGTTGTGTAATATAAAATGGATTCCGTATTCACTTTGAACAATGCTGTCTAGCTATAGCAAAAACATGTGATAGGTTGATTCTGATGTAAAAAGGCCGAAGGGCAAAGTCACAAATTAATACAAGTCATTTGGACAAGATTTAAGTGGGGATGACATAAATTCCATTAATAAGCTTGTTAATTTTTTTCTTCTTTTTCTTTAGAATGTGGGGTGGTGGTGGTGGTAGGAATCCATAATTTTAAAGACAGGTGAAAAAGCAGCCTATCATATTTGAAAACCAACTTTAAAGATGACACATGATTCTTGGAGGCTGTGCATCCACTTTTAAATTGATCATATTTATGTCCAATTTTGTCTGGTACTAAGATATTGACTTATTCATCCTTTTCTTCTGTTTTGCAAATATGATCAATCACAATTTTTCTGTTAGATTTCTTCATGGTTAAATTATTAGAAAATCAACCTCAATTTTTTAAATACCTATTCTGGCCTTCACAGAATACAAAGATGTGAATCAATTCAAATTCTGTTCTAGCCCAGGAAAGTCGAAAAAAGCCTTTCAGTCAATTAATTCTTCCCCATTATCTTCCCCTCACTTTCAAGCACAAATTGGCCAATCAAATTGATAGGAAAATCATGTTATGGAGCCATTGCTCCCTTTAATTTACAAGACAAGGCAATAAAGTCCCTTTGACCTGCAATTCAACGTGATATAGGAATTGATTTATCATACCAAAATCAAAGCATATTTTAATTACAAACAAAGCCGTGGCTTCATTCATTTTGATGAATTATCATTGTTTTCCCCTCTAGGTCGTTGAACATTCTGAAGCTATCAATAATGGTCCACAGAGTTGTAAACTGTTGATAAACTGATATTGTTAAGATATTTCACAGAAAAATCAACTAGACCTGAACTCAAAATAGTTCAAAACCATTCTTATCTGAAAATGCCCATAATCATAAATTACCTACAAATTCTGTTTTTATTATCAAATTGAATTTATGGAAAATCTTCCTCAGAATCTTAAGTACCTGTGAAAGAATTTCATGAAGACTCTCTTAAATTCTGGCCCATTTCTCCTGATATGCAGAATAAGCATCCATTATCCTTGCTTGTATAGATTTTTCTCACCCTCTTCTAAACATTTCTGAGGTATCTTCTTATGGATCTCATAGATGCCATGAATAGCTAATCAAATGTACATTAATCCCTTGTCAATTTTATTGATAAATTTGTCAGTAATCATCTGGCAAAATGGAAGTGATGCTAATACTACATCTCCCTGACAGAAAATAGACATCATCTGTTTAATTATTCATGCATCAGTATTTTATAAGGAATCAGGCTTCATGGTCAATGAAGCAATTTACAACCATTACTAGAACAATTTTCAGTGTGAAATAGGAATAGCTACACAAAGTTTCCCTACTATATCAAAGTTTCACAGAAAAATCTTCATAGCGCAGTTGTTAATTGTCATGCTTTCAAATGCTTTTTATTCCTAAGAAGATCATGGGCATGAAATGATGACTTATATAGGTGTGGTAAAATATACATATAGCTCTCAAAGTTTAGAGGCACTTAATGGTCTGTAACTGTTTTAGACACACTCACTTATAAACCTATAATTTTTATATTTTTTTAATTTTGAATAACTATTGAACATAATGGCTGTTTTCTGATTAGATGAGTCTGTCAGATGTTGCAGTAAATGCTGTCTCAGGAGAATTGACTGGTTCTCAGGTTCTGTAAAAATAACGATACCAGTTCAAAGTATTGTACTTCTGTAGATGCATACAATGTACATAGGTGTGATATTTTTTACCATTCTTCAGTATAAATGACATCAAAGGGTAGTCTAATGTACTGAAAATGTTGACACTGTAAATCTTAATACATGTATCTTTTTACAATTGGGTGTACTAAAGAATCAATTTAGTTCCGTCATTTTTTAAATTTTTTTTTTAATTTTTGCATTTATGTTACTCCTCTATATAATATGATTCATATGTTCACAATTTCAAACAGATCATCTAGCAAGAGTGAAGTATTCATTTACATGTAAAATACAGCCAAACCCTTAATATATTGCTTTGTTCTGATTAACTCTGTAAAATATCATATATAATACTTGACTGCATGTTCCTTTGATATTTCTATAATCATTTAAAAAAATATATAGATAAAGCAATTATAATATTGACCTGTTATCTTTCTGTACTTAGATGAGAAATCCTTCCATGACTTCTCTTTGATATCAGTTTTCAGTTCACACAGCAGGTAAACCATTTCATTAAGTTTCTTTATTGTCCTGCTCCGATTGCCAGTCAAATGTGATTCTCTGTCTCTCAGAATTATCTTCCCCTGATCTGAGGCATCCACTTCAGTGACATGCGGAATGCAATTACTGAGATGAGAATACAGGCCAAACAGGCCCTCTAATATAATCTGTCCTTCTTTTGGACATTCTGATAACACTTCTGTGAAACTTCTAGATGTCATCAGTACTGAATGCAGCCAATCAACAAAGAGTTTCCAAAAGTGACAACCAATCACGTTTTGATTTTGTTTGAGAAGCCATGAACTAATAATGATGACTCCAATACACAAAGGAACAATTTTCTCTGTAGAATGAGTGCTAAGCAAATAAGAAGGGTTCCAATGAATCAATGATTCTAATGTCAGTCCAATCACTTTCTTCATTTCTTCAGATTTCCTCTGTGTATTAAAACTACCTGAATCACCTGAACTCTTCTTGATTAATTTTTGATTAGTTTCATACCTAGAAATATTTTCTAGCCTCAAAGCCTTTAAAGCAGAGGACACACACTGAAGGGTCTCAAGGTCATCACCATAGTTACAAAGGTTACCTAACAACAATAAAGCATCTCTAATTGTCAAGTTATGCTGAGGATATCTGTGAAGCACACCTTGATTTTTCTCCCTGGGGAAATCGGTGTAACCTAAGATGGATATTAAGGTCTCCAGTAGCTGACAGTAAGATTCCAATTTCACCTCACTGCTGTAAAAAAGAATTCTTCTAGTGAATCATAAAAACCTACTCAATATTGATCAAGTGGGGAAAAATCTATGATTAGTTTAAGCTACGTTCTTTAAATTGCATGTCTAATACTCCTCCTCCCTTAAAAAACACACAAATAAGCAACAGAAGTCTCTGATAAGACTGTAGCTCTACTGGTTTGCAATTACAACAAAGGAATAGAATAGAAGTAAATGGATTTAAAACTAAGTAGCTTTGGCAAAAACGATAAAGAGAATTATTATACCTCTATTGTTTTTTCACTATTTAAAAGTAAATCAAAATATTTTGCTGACTCCATGAAAATCACTGTAAAAAAGACTGATTCCCTGCAGAAAGGTGCACCAGTTTGATGACTGATACACACCTACTGGGAAGACTAGAAATTTATTTTAAATTTTAATGAAAAGTTCAGATATGTTCCAAATAATATTGTGAATATTCATTATGCAGATCAGTTAAAGTTGCATATGAGGTGGGGTCTAATTTGTATGGGAAATTAGTAGCTTGTCATTGTAACACCATCAAAGTAAAATTTGAAGCATTTAATGTGCAGTGAAAGGCAGATGACATTACTTTTACAAATTAAAAATTGTGTTTTCAATTAAAAAGAATATTCTTTGCAAATATTGCCTTTGTCCAATATTGATAAAGTTCTAAATAAAAATTGCCTGTCCTATATAGAAAATGTATTCTTATTACAAACAAGATGTGCTTGTGAAACACTGATGCCCCTGTATGGCAGCTTATGGCGAAGGTTAAAGTTTCTCGAATGCAAGTCAAACTTCAGGTCAAGAGATCAAAAATATTGACACCCAAAGAAATGTCTTGTCTCTAGGAATATACCTGTGAAATTTAAAAGCTCTAGCACCAACTGTTCAAAAGTTATGGCGAAGGTTTTTTAAAAAATAAAGTAAAACATCATGGTCAAATGGGGCCCCAAGGGAAGGTCTTGTCACAAGTGATACACATGTTTGTGAAATGTGAAAGCCCTAGATCCAAACGTTCACATGCTATGGCCATGGTTAAAGTTTTTTAAAAGTAGGTCAAACTCCAAGGTCAAGGTCAATGCCAAAATTGCTGGTATCCAAAGGAAAGTCTTGTCCAAAGGAATGCACATGTGAAGTATGAAAGCTGTAGCACCAAATGTTTAAAAATTATGGCAAAGATTATTAAAGTTTTTCAAAAGTAGGTCAAACTCCTATGTCAAGGTCAAACGGTCAAAGTTGTTGGTATCCAAAGGAAGGTCTTGTTACTAGGAATACATTTGTGGGGTATGAAAGCCCTAGCACCAACCCTTGAAAAGTTATGGCCAAGGTTGAAGTTTTTCAAAAGTAGGTCAAACTCCTATGTCAAGGTCAAAAGTCAAAGTGGTTGATATATAAAGGAATGTCTTGTCACAAGGAATAGACATGTTAAATATGAAAGCCCTAGAACCAACCATTCAAAAGTTATGGCCAAGGTTAAAGTTTTTCAAAAGTAGGTCAAACTCCAAGGTCAAGGTCAAAAGGTCAAAGTTGTTGGTATCCAAAGGAAGGTCTTGTCACAAGGAATACACAGGTGAAGTTTGAAATCCCAACCATCAACTGTTTAAAAGTTATGGCCAAGATTAAAGTCTCACAAAATTTTGCAAAAGGGGGGTCAAACTCCAAGGTTAAGGACAAATATGATGGTACCCAAAGAAAGGTCTTGTCACAAGGAAAACACATGTGAAATATGAAAGTCATAGCTCCAACCATTCAAAAGTTATGGGCAAGGTTAAAGTTTTTGTGGACAGACAGACAGACAGACAGATGGACAGACAGGGCAAAAACTATATACCCCTGAATCTTCGATACGGGGGCATAAAAATAAAGATATTTTTGAATGTGCACCTTAGAATTACACCAGTCTGCAAACACCAGTCTGTACAAGTTTTAACTGGTCTAATATTTGTACTGGCATAATGAAACAGTTATATCAGTACATCATTGAAGGAGTCAGCAAGATTCCGGTTCCCCTCGAGCAAGCTTAAGCATGCTCTTGAGGAACTGGAATCTTACTAACTCCCTCAACGATACATGTAAACTTTTTAAAACTATAAAGTAAACCAACTATTATTCATGCCATCTTTAATTTGAGATTCATCATTTTGAAATCAATCCGTGGTGATAAATTTTCGTGACTAAGGAAACATTCTCTATGTCAAATATAAAGCAAAATAAATGGTGCAAAACTTGTGGATATTTCTTGCACGCGAATAAAAGTTGGTTTACAGTATATTATCCTTGGTTTAGTTTACTTATATACCTAATTTTAATGAAATTAAAAAAAAAACTATAGGCGCAGTTGCACTTTGAAAGCGTTCCACCCAGTATTTTATTAATCATTGAAAGAGCACTCAATGAAATTAAAAACAAAAACAAAAAAACAAGAGGCCCACATTGCTCACCTGAGCACTTTGGCTAGGAAAAAGCAGAAATTAATTTAGTATTGAAAGGTTTAAATATACATGTACAAGTGGTCCCAACCTACTCCTCGGGGAAGGGGTGCATGATTTGAACAAACATGAAACTACACAACTGAAGATGTTTCCATATTTCTTTGACTAATCATGCCTTTAGAAGATTTTTAAAGATTTTTTCCTATACATTTGATCTTCTATTGTGGTCCCACCTTACCTCTGGGATACAAGAACAAATTTAAATCTACACTAATTGAGGATGTTTCTGTATTTATATGACTAATCATGGCTTTACAGTGCTTGAGAAGATTTTCAATGATTTTTTTTCTATATATTCCTCTGTACAACTTTGATCCCCTGTTGTTGCTCTTCCCTATCCTCAGAGGTCATGATTTGAAATAATTTACAATACCTGAGGATTCTTCTATATTAATAAGACTAATCATGGTTTTGCTGTTCTTGAGAAGAAGATTTTTCCAAGTATATGTTCCTATGTATAACTTTGATCCCCTGCTGTGCCCCCCTACCCCTGGGGTCATTTTTTGAACAAACTTGAATCTACATTACCTGAGGATGCTTCAATATAAGTTTAATTTATCATGGCTTTGCTGTTCTTGAGAACAGGATTTTTAAACATTTTCCCTAGAATGATTCCTTTGTAAAACTTTGATCACCTATTGTGGCTCCAACCTACCCCCCAGGGGTCATGATTTGAACAAACTTGAATCTATACTACCTGAGGATGCTTCCATATAAATTTGACTAATCATGGCTTTGCTGTTCTTGAGAAGAGGATTTTTACAGATTTTTCCTATGCATTCCTATGTAAAACTTTGATTTCCCACTGTGCATGGTTCCACCCTAACCCTGTGGTTGATGATTTGAAAATAACTTGAATATACACTACCTGAGGATGATTCCACATAAGTTTCATCTTTTCTGGCCCAGTGGTGCTTGAGAAGAAGATTTTTAAAAGATGCCTTTAATTTTTCACTACATGTGTACTTCTAAATTTCCCCCTTGGAAGAAACTTGAATAAACTTGAATCCATTTTATGCAAGGATACTTTGTGGCAAGTTTGGTTGAAATTGGCGAAGTGGTTCTTGAGAACAAGTTGAAAATGTGAAAATTTTACACACAGACGAACAAACAAATGAATGCTTGAAAAAATGTGATCAGAAAAACTCACTTGAAAGCTCAGGTGAGCTGAAAACTGATATTCAGTATTGTACCAAATCATACGAAAACTGTATGAGGAGTATCTTTTTAAAGAATTACACAGTGTATTTTGAGTAACTGTGAAATGCTGTTTGTCAAAATGAGAGCATTTATTCAGAAATATGTATTTTCACTTGAGTGTAATCTACTTTTGTTCAAAGATTTATCAAAACTGGACAAAAACTGTTGGAAGAGTAACATTTTGAAAGAATTACTATTTTTCATATCCAAGACAACACCGTTCATCAAAATTTTAAAAAAAATTCAGATATTATATATCTTAGTGTAATCTACTTATGTACCAAGTTTTATTACTCTAAAAAGAATAGAATTTTTAAATATTGTGTGCAGACAGACAGATGGCAAATACTTAAACATTGCAGAAGCTCTTCTAGTCTTCAAGCACTAATAGTGATACCTGACTTTGGCAAGAACTTGTTTCATCACATGGATCATCTGACTGGTGAACGAGACTGGGAGGGACTTCATTTCTGGTTCAGTAAGACTGGGCTTTCTTTCCATTTGCTCATCTCTGTTATCTGTCACTGTGTTGTCCTCTCCCACACTGCTGCTCTGTGAGACCTGTGTTTGGTTGTCTGTCACTGTGTTGTCCTCTCCCACACCGCTGCTCTGTGAGACCTGTGTTTGGTTGTCTGTCCCTCTGCTGTTGTCTTCCACTGCTTTGCCTGAGTCTGAGGCCATTTTCTCCTGTGTTCCTGTTCTGTGCGACTCACCCAGCATTGTGTTCCATGTATTGTGTAAAATCTCTAGCAGTATCTTCAAATGATCTACAGGCAATGATCTAACCAAGAAATGGGAACATGATTAATCTGTGTGCCAAATTTCTACCATAATCTTACACTGATAGTCTTAATGTTTTTTATGACACTGCAAATAAATGTGTGTGTATTGGTGTTTTTCAATCAGACCTAAATCGACTTATTTTATTCTGAAAGGGACCTGAAAAGATTTCAAGTCTTATATTTAGAATGACATGATTTTTGTGATACATGTACAGTTCAAATTCAAGTAAAGATGTTCTGCAAATGCACATCAGAAGCTGAAATTGTTGGAATAATAAATAAGAAAATACTAAATCAAGATATTAGAAACAATGCTTTGTTTTAAACTGGTGTCCTTACTTTGACTGCAACATAGCAGAGTACCAGGTTAAAATCCCATGATTCCTAACCAGGTCAGAGGTCACCTTTCTTTCCTTACTGGCTGCTCTCAAAATCTGCAGTACTTGTAGCTATGAAAATAAAAAAAGCATTCAAACAGGGTTGTCCCTAAGATTTGAAATAGTAGGGGACATTTAAAAAGTAGAAGGGGTTTTGGGGTTCCTCCCCTTACAGAGGGTTGAGGGGGAATACCAGAATAACCATGGATTTATGTCATTATAGGTGGGGAAATTCACCGACCCCCGGGTCTTAGGGACAACCCTAATTCAAATAATTCTACCTTAAAATGTTCAACTGTAAATCTTGGTAGTACTATACATACTGTACAAATACAATACTGGAAATTTTCTAATTTTCTCTGAAGTGTGAAATTTTAATGTTCATGAAGTGAAGAATTTGGTAAGATTAAAAAGAAGATAATCTCTTTCTGGTTACAAAACCAAAGGATTAATAAATTAATAATAAATTAAAATAATACATGTATATTATTTCTAATACATGTACATGCAATTTCAATTTCATTATTCATTTTAGCTTCGAGGGTTGAGGAATCCTATTTTTATTTGATTGTCACATTTTATGATAAATGCTATTCTGTTGAAGTGTTACTATCCACGGATGTTTTTCCTTTGCAGGCAAATGCATGAAGTATAACCTAGTATACAAATATAGATGACCACTCTATATCCTTGATGATGCTATAGCAGGTGACACCTGTGTTCCTTGCCACTCTTATTTTTCTTGAGTTGTTAAAATCATATAAAGTATAAAGTTTTTCTGACCTGTGTAGAGTTGTCACTGATACTGGATTCGTAGAATGACAACAACATCTTCAAAATGTGTCGCTTCTCAAAGATGTGGAAATCTGCCGTCTCTCTTAGGCCCTCTGACAGTAAACCCAGCATCCAGGCTCTCTCTAGTTTGTACTACAAACATTAAAGTTATCATCAATCCCATAAAAACTCTTTCTTTGAATCAAAAATCCTTATTTTAATAAGTCTGTTGTTTGTTACAGGATGGCTCGAAATCAATGTCATCATCCAGATCACATTTTGCAGGTGTATTACAGACATAACAAATTAAAAGCTTCATTGAACAATCAATGCCAGAATTTTGAGTCCATCTTACATGACTGTTTATTTCACTACACATTTACTGAACAATTATCAGAAATAAATTATACATGTACCTATACCATAATACATGTATATGTAGGGATCAAATAACACTGTACATTTATTGACTGTGTTTGAGGTCAAATTGCTTTCTGTCAGACTCAAGAACTAAACTATTTGCTTAGGGCTATTTAAGATTAAGAAAACAGTTTGATTCTCAGATTCAAAATGCATTCTGCCTGAGAATACAGTCAAATGTTTTTCGAACACCTTTTATGTAACTGTTAAATACCAATAAATGCAAATTAGATACAGCTTATGCTGGATGATCCTGCCTAATATGAGGATTAATAAATACAAATTAAGTGGGACCTAAAAAATTTCATAGTGGTCCAATATTTCACAGATCTGCAAAATATCATATTTTTGGATTGCTCAGTAAAAACATTTTTTGTACAAATTTATATATGTAACAATATTAAAAGGTATAACAATACAATATATATAAATTATAATATAATATTATAAATAAATATGTCTAATCATGGCTTTGTTGATCTTGAGAAGATTTTTCCTATAACCCCCTGTTTAAAACTTTGATCACCCATTCTGGCCCCAATCTACCCCAGGGGTCATGATTTGAACAAACTTGAATCTTAACTACCTAAGGATGCTTCCATATAAATAGGACTAATCATGGCTTTGCTGTTCTTGAAAAGATGACTTTTAAAGATTTTTCCTACATATTCCCATTCAAAACTTTGATAGCCCATAGTGGTACCACCCTAGCCCCAGCAGTCATGATTTGAACAAACTTGAATTTCACTAGGTCAGGAAGCTTTCACGTAAGTTTCATTTTTTTCTGTCCCAATGGTTTCAAGAAGATTTTTAGATGACCCCACCCAATTTTCAATATTTCTTAATTATCTCCCCTTGGAAGAGAATGTGGCCCTTCAGTTGAACAAACTTGTATCTCCTTCATCCAAGGATACACTGTGCCAAGTTTGGTTGAAATTGGCGCCTATGGTTCTGGAGAAAAAAATGAAAATGTGAAAGATAACAGCAACAATGATGACAATGACAATGAAAGACAATGGACTTCAATAAGAAAAGCTCACTCGAGCCTTCAGCTCAGATGAGCTAAAATTTAAGGGGATTTTAAACCAACCATTGGTTTTTCATATAATATTTCTGTATTTATCAGTACTGTATGGCTAGATGGATGCTTTTAGAGTTAAGTCAACTCCCTTGCACTTTCATGAGCAAGGTCTTTGTCATCTGTTCTATATTGGCAGCTTATTACCTCTAGTGCTGAGCTGTTGAAGAGTTTGTAGAATTCTGGAACATTTCCTGTATCCATAGCTGGCTTCAACAACAGAAAGGCATTCAACATCTTGTACATGTGGTCTTCTGAAAATAACATAACATCAACATCCTTTAAATTTACTGTTTACATTTATTCACATAGGATTTTCTAATACTATGAATCAACTTTTATTTGTATGTGAGAAATATTCTTGAGTTTCACAACCTTCTTTTACTTGCAAATATTTCTTGCTATAAACCATTTATCTATTTGTGTTTCTACGTATAATGTTTCCTCAGTCGCAAAAAATAGTAGTCGTGGATGGAAAAGTGACAAATTGTGAAGTAAGTTGACATATTACTATTACATATTGAATAATTAAAGCTGGTATACAGTATGGTAAGTCAGCTATACACTGACATAAAATACAAAGATCCTCATTACAACAAAGGGAATGTTTTGATCATTTTCATGACTGGAATCAAACAAACAATATTTCAAAACTTTCAATGAATAATTATTTAATAAAATATACTGGGAAGCACTGATGACTTTATAACATCACACATCAAATAAGGGAGACTACTCCTTGTTAAATCTTTATTTACCTGGCTTGAGAAGCTCTGTGGAGACTTTGGCCAGAAACAATGTAATAATACATGGCAGCTTTGTGTTTGGTGTCTCTATACTATTCTTCACTAGCTCCACAAAATAGAGGACCTGCTTGGCCTCAGGGAAGCGTGCCCCCTGTAGATGGGACAGGAAGTTATTGAGAATGTGGTAAGCTGCACCCCGCATCATGCTGTCATGGCAACTCAGGCAGGCAAAGGTGAAAGACAAGCATTGGTTTTCTACAAACTTACGGCAATCCAAAACAGACTCTGAAACAGGTTTACAGAGGTCAGAAATCCACCACTTTCAAAACATTTTAACAAAGAAAGCTCTCAAATTCAAAATTAAACAGAGCTAATTTGCTCTTCGCGTTTATGAAGATATTTTTTAATGAACAGACTCTACACATTTATGTCATTTTTACTTACCAGATCTGACAAGTTCACTGAAGACAGGGAGAAGAAAGCAGGGATCATAGGCTTCAGGTACAGACTTGATCACCTCAGCTTCCTGTATTGTACCAGGCTGTAATCAATAACAACTCTTCTGTAATACCTTACTTTTCCAGTTCATTACATGACGAAAATGATACACTTCATTGAATTTTTTTTTCTTTTGATCTGAGATTCAGCATAAATGTGACTGATGATGACTGTCTAAATTGCGTGTCTACTTTGAATGGCATGAAAATAGTAGCTTGAATAGTAGAAATATGACCCTGTGAAGTTAACTTGAAATATGAAGATGTTCATTGATGACATTGTGTGATAGAGTGATATTTTAATTTATTTTATTAAGTGAATATTATATTATATAGTTCAGTGACTTAATATTCACGTGTATATATTTTATTTTTAGCATCGCGCAGCATTTCGTTTTCACGGAGTTTTGCGCTCACCGTTAATAAAATTAATAAAATACTACAACTTCATTTGGTTTTAATCTTTACTTATGTTCTAGAAGTTCTTACTTATCCTAAGGGTATATAATGTTATTGGTCAGTTTTAATATCCAAGCTTGCGATTGGTTAGGGACGTTTTCCCGCCGATCTCTTTGTATCGGTCAGACATCTATAGACCATTGAGAAAGTGAGATGAGTATTTTTGGTCATCATTATATACAATATTAATTTTGAGACGAGACCTCAGGACAGAGACTGTAAGTTGACTTCTATTTCTTTTATCTTTACTAATTCTTATTCTATACTTTCCGATAATTCATCGTCTTTGATTTTTAATGTAATTTTGTGAAGATATACTGAGTTCAACTTTATCATTATTAAATGAAGCTTAAAGTATAAATTCTTTGAGTATGTAAATAAAATATCAATTATGCAGAAGTGTATATAGAATATAATTATTGTTTAATAGGAGTATATATATCAAGACCCGTTATTTTTATCGGGTGGCCATTGTTTGAGCCTTGATCCACAATCAGGTATACCTACAATTATTTTCTATTTATTGTGTATATATTATTGCAAATAGATTTGTGAACTATTCATTTTATTTGTAATAGTTCTATTTGGAATAGTTCGATTTATATTCTCGTTTTCAAGACGTCGATGTAAGGGAAATAACTCTTACTTTTCCATGTATTTATTTCAATGCTCAGTATAATGTGTAATACTTTTATGATCGATTATTATAAAGTAATTCATGCCTAAATTCATGAATATCATTATAAATGTAATATGGTTGTTTGTTTTCTAAATACTTATAATTTGTTATTGATATTTTCAGGGCTTTATTGATGTATTTATTTATTCAACATGACAAAATAAAATGATCGAACCTTAGACGCAGGAGTTCTTCTTTAACACCATAAGAAAACCCTGTTACAGAAATGGCGCCCATGTAGGGACCCTGCATCCCATTCCTTGTGTGAAGTTTCCCGTGTGTGTACTGTGGTGATTAACTCAGTTCGTGGTACTGCTGGACTGTGACAATGTTGGAAGTGAATATGACATGCTACGACGTCTAAGATGTCCATGGACTTACCAGTATTATAAAACTTTAGTGTAGTGATTTGTTTATACATGTATATTTTGCCTGACCAGTAGAAATACAGAGAGAGAGAGAGAGTACGTACGTACGGTAAGGTTGTAAAGTTACCCTTTTTGCACTTGTGTTATTTTTTCACCTCTGTTAAGTTCACCTGTATATTTTTTTGTTGGTTAAACTGCAGCTGCATATTTTTTTACAATGTGAATTATCAGTTTATTTCATTTGATTTTCTTCAGTTTGAAAAGTTTCAGTTGAACTCATTTTTTTTCGTTCAGTTTAAAGTTAGGAACCGCGAGTAAATTTTGCATGCTTGTACTAACACCCTCCTTTCATTTCTTACTCTCTACTTTCTGTTTGACAATGTTGACATTTCGACGATAGTAGTACATGTATAGTGTATAACGGTAACGTGTGCCTATAGAACCACGTACAACAGTTGAGCGTTGGGTATCAGTGTTGAGTATTAGTATATTACCTGATCAAAAGCACAGTCAACGTATATTTGTGTTGGTTAGGTGTATTTATTCTGGTCAATCTGTCATTCAAAGTCTGTCGGTAGAGTGTATATATTTAGAGAGTGTTTGGTTGATACACAAATTGACATAGAGATAGTATTATACTGTCGGTTATACATGTAATCGTGTCTTTTCTTCAAAGCCTTTGCCTGTGTTTACCTGAGATCTAGATCAATCGCGAATCGCGTTCATTGGTTTGTATATAATTATGTGTATTTTATAAGTTAGAATTAGACAGTAGTAGTTATTGTAGTGTACATAGTAGCATAATATTTTGACTGTTTTTTTTTTTTCTTTATATAGCACACTTTGAAACCATTACCTTGTGCAGAGTATTCAAGTTTGTGTAGTGCTATTAATAGATTTAAATTTCCAGTGTAGACGAGTGCTGTCGCGAAGATCGTCACGCTTGAGCAGACACACCTTTGATCGCTATGTAGAATTATCTGCCCTTAGTTTATTGAAATTGACGAGTTATCTTTCTTAGAACACTTTATTTCAGGAATACTAAACTGTGAACATTTCAATTTCAGTTTTGTATTTGATCAAGGTTGAAAGTATTTATCATTAATTTATTTATTTTCAGCTACAGATTAAGAAGTTAGTGAGTTTTCAAATTTAATTTGAATTATTTTTTTCAGAATTTAATTTTAAATTTATTTCAGCATTTATTAATTTATTAATTTTTTTTTTAGCCTTTAATCTTGATTTTTTTTCAGCATTGATTATCATGCGTTAAATTTATTATTATTTGTAAGAAAAAACCTGACAATGCTATAATTATTTACAGTTCTTGAGTTAGATTCTTAATTAAGAAATTAGCTATATAGTTTTACACAAGTTGACATACTATTAGAGCTTAGTTACAATAGCACTTAGTGGTTAGAGATATTTAAGCAAAATCATGGCATCAGATCAAAGCGTTCATTTGAAGAAGGGTGAAGACAGTGCACTTAATCAACAGCAAATCCAACGTATGATCAATTACTTGTCTGAGCACACAGATTATAAGATCTTGACAAATGATGAGTACCAGCTATTGAGGACACCTTTGGACCAAAGCACACCCGCTGCAGAGGGTGGAGCTAGGCCAAAAGTTCGCAAACCATCAACAGTCAAATTTGAACCTCAGGAACACAATCAACCATCACATTCGGATACATGCTCAGGATTTGTGTTTGATTCATCGACTGTTCATCCTCGGTTTTCTATATTTTCTGGAGAGGAGAAAAATGAGACAGCATTTGATGTCTGGAAAAATGATGTGCAGTGTGCTCTCAGGGATGGTGCTTGTGCAACTCACATAATCCTTCAAGCAATAAGATCCTCCTTAAAGGGTAAAGCTAGGAGTCTGCTGCTTACATTACCCACAGATGCAACTCCTCAGCAGATATTATCCAAACTGGATGGAGTCTATGGGAACATCTACCCCAGTGAGAAGCTGATTCAGCAATTCTATGCTTCTAAACAGGAGGAAGGAGAAACTGTAGTGGACTTTGGCATGAGATTGGAGAGCATCTTACAGCGATGCATTGAGAGGAAAGCCATCAGCAATGATGTGAAGAATGAGATGCTGAGAACAAAATTATGGTCTGGGTTGAGTGATAACAATCTCCGCAATGCGAGCCGCTACAAGTATGACACAATCAATGACTTTGAAACACTGAGAAAGGAATTACGTACCATCGAGCTTGACATGAAGTTATCAGCACCATCATCATCATCAAATGACAAAAAGAAATCACAAGTATCCAAGATTGGAGATAAAGATTCCTCTATGGACCTGATCCTTAGAAAATTAGAGGCTATGGACAAAAGAATTGGAGACATGGAGCGAGAAGTCAAGAAATCAAAATCAAAGGATTATTTTCCTCCCAGAACTGAACAGACTAATACAGGAAATTACAATTATTCAAGAAACCGTGGAGGTTATCAACACTCTGACAGAAGTCGAGGATCATCATATCCAAACAGAGGAGGATATAGAGGAAACCGAGGATCCACATACCAAAACAGAGGAGGATATGGTGGATACCATGGTAGAAATTTCAATTTAAACCAATAGAAGCCACTAATGAGGGACAAATTGGCGGCTTTATGGAGGAACCTTGTCCCACTGAAATCAACTCACAAATTTTATGCATAAGATGTGGACAATATGGACACTCGGATACAAGATGCCATGTTAGACTAGACCATTCAAGACGTCAACATGATTTTATTCCACGAAAGACTAGGAAACAAATATCGAGACAAAATACAACACTTGTCGGGTCATCAAATGAGATAGAAGTGCAGATACAAGGTGTGCTGACACAGGCGCTCATCGATACTGGATCTGCTGTGTCGACTATAAGTCGCAAATTTTATGATACCCATCTACAGGATATTCCACTGCAGCCAGTTGATTGCCTACTTACTCTTGAGTGTGCTGATGGGACAGAATTGCCATATCATGGTGTAATATCATGTGAACTACGAGTTGAAGGCATTTCTGATGCACCAGAGACAATTGAGTGTTTGTTTCTCATAGTGAATGAGACTACTTACCATGAGTCAGTACCAGTTCTTATTGGGACCAACATCCTTTCTGTACTTCTGATGGAAACAAAACAGAAATTTGGTGTCAGATTTCTACAGAAGGCAAAATTACATACCCCATGGTACCTTGCCTTTCGATGTATGACCCTGCGTGAGCGTGAGTTATCCAGACGTTCATACGTGCTAGCACTGGTGAAGTCAGCTGAGGAGAGACCTGTGACTATACAACCCAACAGCAGTGTAGTCATCCAGGGATACCTGCATGATGAGTTACCTTACCATCCTGTGTGTGGGATGCTGTCACCTACAGTCAACTCTCGTATTCCAGCTGATCTGGATATAGAGCCCAGTGTCATCACCTATGATACTGCAAGGAATTTTCCAGTACCAGTGCACATCAACAACGTTACTACAAACAAAGTGACAGTCTACCCTCATGCATTACTGTGTGAAGTGCAACAAGTCAATGTCCAAAATTTTCCAAGGAACAACTCATCAGAAACATCAGATGTATTGGAGCAAATTGACCTGCCTCGAGATGAACTTTCTCAGTTGCAGCTAGAGAAAATTGAAGAATTGCTCAATGACTATGATTCCTTATTCTCAAAAGGAGACACTGACATTGGATACTGCCCTTTTGTGGAACACAGAATTGAGCTTGATGATGAAACGCCTTTTAAGCAACGTTTCCGTCGCATTCCACCATCTATGATTGATGAAGTGAGAGAGAACATAGAGCAACAATTAGCAGCCGGAATTATTAGGAGATCTCACTCACCATTCTCATCAAACGTCGTCCTAGTACGAAAGAAAAATGGACAACTGAGGATCTGCATAGACTATCGCCATCTTAACAGCAAGACTAAGAAGGATAACTATGCCCTTCCCCGTATCGATGAGATATTGGACTCGCTTGCTGGAAATACTTGGTTTTCTGTCCTAGATATGAAGTCAGGATATTACCAGATCCCTATAGCAGAAGAACACAAGGAGAGAACTGCTTTCACTGTCGGTCCCTTGGGATTCTTTGAACATAATCGCATGGCGATGGGATTAGTTAATGCTCCAGCAACGTACCAGCGACTAATGGAGGAGTGTTTAGGGGATCTTCATCATCACATCTGTTTTATTTACCTGGATGATGCTATTGTGTTTTCAGGAGATAATTTTGATGAACATCTAGACAGATTGAGGACGGTATTCCAAAGACTGAAGGATTGTGGGATCAAATTATCACCAAAGAAATGTTCTTTGTTTAAGAAAAGAATAAAATATGTGGGCCATATTGTATCTACTAAGGGAATAGAACCTGATGATGATAAAGTTCAAAAGATTAAGGAATGGCCTACACCCACAAAACCAGAGGAGGTCAGGAAGTTTTTAGGTTTTGTGGGATATTATCGAAAATTTATCAAAGACTTTTCAAAAATAGCTAGACCCCTTACGAATCTTATACCGTCAACCACCAAGTCAAAAACAACAATGAAGAAGAAAACTAGGATTCCTGAGTGGCATTGGGAGCAAGAGCAGGAAGAAGCTTTCCAGATGCTGAAACAGCGTTTGTCATCCCCACCCATCCTTTCTTATCCTAATTTTGACTTACCATTCGAAATTCATACGGATGCCAGTTCAGTTGGTTTAGGAGCCATTCTCTATCAAAAACAGGAAGGAATCAACCATGTAATTGCCTATGCTAGTAGAGGATTAAGTAAATCAGAACGCAACTATCCGGCACATAAATTGGAATTTTTGGCGCTGAAATGGGCAGTTACAGAAAAATTTCAGGACTATCTATTTGGCAAGAAATTTACAGTTATAACAGACAACAATCCTTTAACATATGTACTTTCAACAGCAAAACTGGATGCGACTGGGCATCGATGGGTGGCAGCATTGGCAGCATTTGACTTTGATATTCTCTACAGACCAGGACGTAACAACTCAGACGCTGATGCGCTCTCAAGATTACCTGCTGTAGAACCTAAGGATTACCTGCCAATCTCACAAGACTGTATAAGGACCATAGCAAGCATCCATGTTCAGCCTCAAGAACCTTACATAGAAAGCTTAAGTTTCAACCATGAAACTCTTCAGCCCTTGATGTCAGTACAGTGCCAGCAGATTCATCATATTGATATTGAGAAAGCACAACATCAGGATCCTATCATAAGAGACTGGATATACTTTGTGGAGCAGAAAAGATTTCCTAGGAAACATGAGTTACCACTGACACAAGAATCAACAATCTTCAGAAAGAACTTCGACAAATTCAAGATCATTGACAATAAGCTGTACCGAGAAACAACAATTGATTCAGAGATACAACAACAACTTGTTATACCACCTGACTTAGTCAACGAAGTTTTGAAGTATTCCCATAACAACATTGGTCATCCAGGGAGAGATAAGACAACATCATTTATTAGAGAGAGATTTTTCTGGCCCGGTATGACGTATCATATCGAGGAATGGATTAAAGGTTGTAAAAGATGCCTGTTGAGAAAATCGCCAACCACTGACAGAGCTCCTTTAGTCAACATACAAACTTCAGAACCTTTGGAATTAGTCTGTTTGGATTATCTGACATTAGAAACTTCAAAAGGCGGATATCAACACATTTTAGTAATCACTGACCACTTTACGAAATATGCCGTTGCCGTACCTACAAGAAATCAAACTGCCAAAACAACTGCCGAAGCCTTTTATAACAACTTTGTTCTTCATTATGGCCTTCCAAAACGACTACACTCAGACCAAGGAGCAAATTTCGAATCTAATATTATTAAGGAACTCTGTAATCTCACAGGAATAGAAAGATCAAGAACAACACCCTACCATCCCATGGGAAATGGCCTCACAGAAAGATTCAACCGGACTTTACTTCAGATGTTAGGAACGTTATCAACAGAACAAAAACAGAACTGGAGGAAGTATGTCGGACCAATGGTGCATGCATACAACTCGCTAAGACAAGACACCACTGGCCATACTCCTTACTTCCTGATGTTTGGACGACAACCCCGGTTACCTGTAGATATAGCATTTGGTTTGAACAACACCACTACCAAGAAACAACCAATGACTAGCTATATCACAGATCTACAGAAGCGGCTTGAGAAAGCACATGAGTTGGCAGCAAAAGCAACAAAGAAAGCCCAAGAAAAGCAGAAGAAGTTCTACGACCAAAGAATTAGAGGAAGTACCATCAAAGTCGGAGATACTGTTCTAGTGAAGATCTTGGCTTTTGATGGAAAGCACAAACTCTCTAATAGATGGGAAGATGATCCTTATGTTGTTGTTGCGCAGCCAAATCCTGAAATCCCTGTCTTTACTGTAAAGAAGGAAAATGGTTTAGGGAGGCAACGCACTCTTCATAGGAATTTACTACTCCCAGTGGCTACTTTTAATCCTGATGATCAGGAGAATAGTCCAAAACCAACACCTGTTCCAGCTCCAAGGAGGAAGAGAAATGTCCATGATAACAACAGAGAACCAGAAACTCTTGAGTTAAACCAGGACCATGATTCCGATGATGAATCTGACATAATTGTAATTTCCTCCAAGAAAGTGAAAGTGCCTAGGCCAGTAACTACAAGTATCCCTCTTGATCGGACTGGTGACGATCAGAATGACAAGAGAGGACAGGATATGGAAGCCGAGAGGGACGCCTCTCATTCCACAATGAAGGAAACAGATTCCATGCCTGGAGATAGTAAAAATACAGATGATACAGACTCATCTATAGATGAAGTTAGTGCTGGAGCTGCTGAAGTAGGTTCATCTGCTATGGAACTTGCAGAACAGGATGAAGAACAGGAAGAAAATCAGGGAACCATTGATAGTGTAGAAAACTCGGTCAGCATAGCACCTTTACCTCCCCCTCGCAGATCCAAGAGAACTACAAAACCACCCCAATGGATGCGAGATGGAGAGTATGCTGTAAATATGGTATGCAGGGCAATGTTGAATGCAATTTTAGACAAGGATTCCAAGTAAGTATATGTATTTGATTTTATAATTAGATGTTTTTATTTAGTACTATTGTACATATGCTCCAAGTATAATGACGAGGACGTCATTTCGTATGGAGGGGGCATATGTGATAGAGTGATATTTTAATTTATTTTATTAAGTGAATATTATATTATATAGTTCAGTGACTTAATATTCACGTGTATATATTTTATTTTTAGCATCGCGCAGCATTTCGTTTTCACGGAGTTTTGCGCTCACCGTTAATAAAATTAATAAAATACTACAACTTCATTTGGTTTTAATCTTTACTTATGTTCTAGAAGTTCTTACTTATCCTAAGGGTATATAATGTTATTGGTCAGTTTTAATATCCAAGCTTGCGATTGGTTAGGGACGTTTTCCCGCCGATCTCTTTGTATCGGTCAGACATCTATAGACCATTGAGAAAGTGAGATGAGTATTTTTGGTCATCATTATATACAATATTAATTTTGAGACGAGACCTCAGGACAGAGACTGTAAGTTGACTTCTATTTCTTTTATCTTTACTAATTCTTATTCTATACTTTCCGATAATTCATCGTCTTTGATTTTTAATGTAATTTTGTGAAGATATACTGAGTTCAACTTTATCATTATTAAATGAAGCTTAAAGTATAAATTCTTTGAGTATGTAAATAAAATATCAATTATGCAGAAGTGTATATAGAATATAATTATTGTTTAATAGGAGTATATATATCAAGACCCGTTATTTTTATCGGGTGGCCATTGTTTGAGCCTTGATCCACAATCAGGTATACCTACAATTATTTTCTATTTATTGTGTATATATTATTGCAAATAGATTTGTGAACTATTCATTTTATTTGTAATAGTTCTATTTGGAATAGTTCGATTTATATTCTCGTTTTCAAGACGTCGATGTAAGGGAAATAACTCTTACTTTTCCATGTATTTATTTCAATGCTCAGTATAATGTGTAATACTTTTATGATCGATTATTATAAAGTAATTCATGCCTAAATTCATGAATATCATTATAAATGTAATATGGTTGTTTGTTTTCTAAATACTTATAATTTGTTATTGATATTTTCAGGGCTTTATTGATGTATTTATTTATTCAACATGACAAAATAAAATGATCGAACCTTAGACGCAGGAGTTCTTCTTTAACACCATAAGAAAACCCTGTTACAATTGCTTAGAATTTCTTCTCTTTTATAAAATATTCAAATGAATTAATGTGCACTCAATGCCAAATATGATGAGAATGTTGATTTACATGTGTTATCCATATTGTTTTTACAGATGTCTACCTGCATCAGCCTCCTGAGAGGCAGTTTTAAGATGGACGTCTGTAGGATCTTCTGGTCCAGACACTCCATGACCTCGTCTGCTGTTGTCTGCTTCGTCAAGGAGGCACCCAGAGATTTCTTAACAGAGTGAACCTCAACTGCCTTCATCCCCCACAGATATGGTCTGAAAACAAGGATTGGTCAATCTGTACTCAGTCTGTTATCAATTGCCAAGAAATATAAAACATTTTGTAGGAATCATACTAGTCTTATTGTATACAGCAATTTTCATACATGTAATTCACAAATACTAGTCCTACAATATATACTCTGAGAAGAAAAAAACTTAGCACTTATGACTTACAAGTTTTGTTTTAATGTTTTTTATTGAGCTCCATTTGTGAAATAACACACCTGTAGCTCCTTAAGTCTGCCTTGTTTTTCTCATACAAACACAGCAGTCTTAGAATCTTCTGATCTACAAAGTGAACGTTTTTAAAAAGTTGCAATTTGGGAGAGTTTTTTTTCCAAAATTAAATATGATATGCAAGCTAGAATTAAATATTAGTGTGCAACAGTGTAGCTAAATGTGTACCAGTATCACACCACTTAATTAAATATCAAGTATGATATTTAGAATCTGATTTTATTGTTTAAATTTACAAAATCACAATCCTGGAGTATTAAGCACATTGGTTACATAATCCCTCATAAATATACATGTACACCCCTAGTACATACCAGTAGATGACAGGGAAGCTGTGTAGGCCCCGAGGAGGACCCCGATATGTTGGGTGTGGCAACATCTCCTGTCTTTCTCCACCAGCAGAGTCATAAGATCCACTAGGGGCTCTGTGAGGTACCAAAATGAAGCATATTACCAGTAACACAGAAAAGAATGCCCCGTTTCTCGCACACTTTAAATCACTTTATTCAGGAGAATTTTATTTTTATGTAATTATGCAAGACAGTCTACTTTTTTCCTTGCTTATAAAAATCAAATAACTCACAAAAATAACATGTGAAAATTTGGTAATCTACAGTGCACAAAAATGTGTTTTACGAATAAAAGAGTCTGATTACTTTTTTTCCGAGAAGTGTTAAGAACTGCATGTAGTCTTTGTAGTATTCGATAATTGCTCAGCCTACCTTTGACATCTGGATGACCCTCGTTGAACATGATTGGTAGATACTGAGAGTGGCTGATAAGCATATCATGTAGATGTTGAACAGGTAGATCTGGTGATACAGGTGTGTCTGCTTCAGGAGAATCTTGGTAAATAATATCTGTCAGTGTAGTCAGGAGCTGTAATGTTGGCTTGTCTGAATATCTGTATCTGTGATAATTAGAGATCAGAATATTTAACAGCAAAACATGGGGAAAACAATAACATACAGTAAAGACCAAAACTTTAACAAATTATATGGAAAAAGTGTAGAATATCAGAGATTCTTATCATAAGATAATATAATGTATAATGTAATATAGAAACTATATGTAGCTATTTTTGAAATATCATCCCAACCTCAGTAAAGTTTTGACAAAGTCTGGCCATTCTTTTATCATGATAGTCGTGTACAACTCTCTTATTTCATCCTGAAAATACAAATGAATAGGACAAACTAAAATAAACAATGATAAAGTAAAAATAGCAAACTTAAATACCGGTAAATTAAAGCATAGAAAGGTATTTCAGTTCATATTATGGGTCCATACACACCTTGCTGAAGGAAGTAAGAACATTCAGCAGTGACTCTATCCAGTTTTCTTCTCTGGTTTGTTTGTTTTTCAGACTGAGAAGAAGACATGATTGACAGTTCCTCAACAACAGGCCCCGCCTCTTTGTATCCTCTTGATTTCCACACAGCTGGGATAGAATATTGATGAGAAGAGGACACAGATTTGTTCTCTCCGTCATTAATGTTGAGATGAGGGTGATGACTTTCTCTTCCAAGGTTCTACCTATAATTTCAGGTGAAACATCTAGTTTAATAGATATCTTTACGTGGCCATATCCCTGCTTTCGAAGGTCATGATTGGAATAAATTTGAAAGCCTTCATTATATTGCAAAATTTTAAATGTGCATGTAGGTCTTAAGATTTTTTTTAAAGTTTCCCTTTATATTTCTGAGTCAAACATATGACCTCTTTGTTGGTCCAATCCTGACCATGATGTGAATAAAAGATCAATTGTCACATCAAAAGACTTTAAAAAAAAAAATAAATAAAATTGACATTTCAAGCTCAATGATTCTTCATTTTTTTAAAATAAATCATCCTAATTCTCCTTATTTCTTTCATTTCTTCCCTTTAGAACATCACTTTAAATTGAAATCACCCAAAAATGCTTTGAGAGAAGTTAAAGGCTGAAATTGACTTGGTGGTTCTAGGGAAGAATCCGTTAATGAAAAGTTCACATAAGACATATAAGGACATGTGAACACCTTGATGACTTATATGACCAAAAAATGCAGGATTTTACATTGTCAATTTTAACATGATTACTCTCCTTATTTTAAAACATCTAAAAAAAATACATACAGTATATATTATATATGTATTGTGATAACAGTATAATATTAATGACTATATATATTACAGTAATGACGCACCTAAAACCCCCAATCTGTTAAGTTTCAGAGTTAGCCTTTTCATTACTTCAGCTGGGCTGTTCCTTACTCCATCTGTTGCTTCTGATTGGTTACCATCCTCCAATGGGATGCTTTGTTTCTCTTTCATCAGATGTAAACATTTCCCATACATCTTTAAGATTTGAAGCAGAAATGTTTTGCCTACAAAATTTAAATTTGCTTTACTGATTTAAATATCTAAAATTACAACAAAGATTCATCCCTGATATTATAATATAGATTTATCACTTCAACAAAACTTACAAACTTACTTTCTAACAATCTTTTTGGGTACATATCAATGTACTGAAGCAGCAATGATAGAAGTGCAGGCCTTAGATCCATTGTGTCTCTGTTACTGATCCAAGACTCAAACCACTCCTTAGCCTCAGCACTCTGACAAATTACAATACACAGTATCTCCATTCTCAAAACTGAATCAGATTTCAAGGATTTAATGAACACGTCTTTTGGCATAGCTAAAGAGGCTATGGGATAAAGGGTTAATAAATTCAAACAAGCAGTTTCTATGTCAACAAGATCCAAACGGTCAATAAGGGTGAACAGAGTTTGGAATCTATTAAAGTCCAGGAATGGTATTGCAGCTTGTTCTTTATTTTTAACTTTGTCAAGTAGAGTAAGAAGCACCATTCCCTTTTCTGTCAGAGATCTAGTTCCAATGTTTGTCAAATCTGATAAAGAAAGTGAAAGTAATATTGAAAGTAATTTGTTGACATGTTCTTTGCTGATGAAAATCTCTGCGGATTGTAGAAAACTGTTCAGATGTGTTGTCATGGTAGCACTTCTTGCATACTTTTTGTCAGTTAATAGAGTCAAACCCTTGTGAAAATATCCATCCAAGCATTTAGACAGTGTTCCCTGAGGGAGTGATTTCACCTCTTTCAGAATACTGCACAAGCCCTGTGTGGTACAGATCACCATGTCTTTACAAGCACCTGCTGATCTGCCAAGAGTTATCTCCCCAGAAGGAAATAAGAAATAAGAGAATACAGAAGGATGCATTAAAATCTTCTGTAGCATTTCTTCTATGTAGTCTTCTCTGGACTTTTCTGGAAATTCTATGAATTTGATATTTACATCTAATTTATTTTGTGATCCCCCAGATTCCATGACTTCAGGTTCATTCATGGTAGCATCATTAATCATAGTAGTTAGTATAATATTTAACATCTCCCAGCAGAAATTCAGCAAATCGATGTCTTCAGCATTCTGAAAATAGAATTATGAAAATATTAATTAAAGTAGAGAATCTGCATTGGGTTGATCAAATTATTATTTTTACTTCAACATTTTTCTTGAACAGAAAATGTACCAACCTTTACTTACCAATCATGTACAATAACAAAATCTAACTCTATTACATATATTACCAATTAGCCTAAAAGAAAATTTTCAGATTTCAAAAAAGGGAGAAACTGACTTGTGTTTTGAGTAAAATTCCACAATAGAGAAGAATCTGGCTGACAACGGTATCTAATTCAATCAGACTGACAGACTTCAGTTCATTCCTGATTGCCTTTTTTATCTCCTCAGTCGCATCTTTACACAACATTATAATCATCAACTCTAGACAAACAGGTTTTGCCGTGAAATACAGGTCCTCCATGTTTATTTTCACCCTCACAGACTTCTGTTTTAATTTCTTCTGAAATGAAATAAGGTTTCACAGTAAACCAGTCTGCTTCTCTCCACAAGAAGCATGTAACATACAATTATGACCTTTACCTGATTTAATATTTGACAAGAATTTGTGATCACAGGTCAAAAACAATGTGAAATTTCATCTAAGAACATTTTACATATAAGATCACAACATTTTGAAAGGTGTATAAATATTGCTCTAGCTCAATATCTTTGTGATGAAATTTTTTTCAGTTACATACCTTGAAAAAATGTGAGTGAAAAGGATATTAAACTAAAAAAAAATTCAAAGCAGAGGCTACAGTTAAACATTGGCACTATACCTTTCCTGGTTTGAGTAAAGATTCCATGTATTTTAGTACATCTGCACTTATTGTATCACCATGGAGTTCCTTTACTAGTTTTGTTATTGTCACAGGTTCAACTTGGGAATGAAGAATGTCAATTAGAACTCCTGACAGATACTGGCTCAATTCTGACCAAACAAGAAAAAAAATCTAAATGTTAATCCATTTCCTTGTTATCTTGTAACAACACAGGTAGAGTATTTCAGCATTCACATTATATCAAAAAATGAAGTTTTGATTTATTTGAATAAAATTAAGCTCTCCATCTGAATAAAAAAAGCATTTGGGAGGTGGGGGTATAAACATTTGAACATCCCCCTTTTATTACCTGGAGTATCCTGGCATTCATTTTCAGTTTCCATGGTTTTCTTATTGATCTCCAAGGCAACAATCATCAGTGGTGTAAATGGAAGTCTAAAATTGTAAAAAACATATTCAAATGACAAATTTCTGATCTGTAGCAACCTGCACTAATTTTGCTTAAAACTGAATAGATTAGGGTGGAGTGGGGGTGGGGGGATAAAATACACTGTATGTACCTTAATAAACTAGTTTCTGAGGATGCCTCCATTTCACCATTTATGTTGTCAAAGTCTTCTTCATCCATTTCTAAAACAGCTAAGAGGGAATAAAATTAAGTGTAACAATGTCAGTTGCAAAATTTTATACTCAAGAGGTTATTATTTAAACCCATGATAGTTTATGTGAGTAAAGAATTCCAAGATCTTTAAAAGAAAACGTGTTTAAATGGTTCATACTGTGATGTTGGGATATTAAACTACGAGATAAAATTTTATTATGAATTTCTCCTGTACAAAGTCTTTGTACTGGTAAACCTTTCCTCTGCTAACCACTGTAGCATATGAGTATACTGTAGATAAGTCATGCATTCCAGAGTTTTTACAAGATGCTTTGTGAAACACTGGTACCCTGTAAGGCAGCTCATGGCCAATTTAAGGTTAAAGTTTTTCAAAAGTATGTCAACTCCAAGGTCAAGGTCAGGTGGTCAAAAAAGTTGGTACCAAAAGAAAGGTCTTCTCCCAAGTAATATATATGTACATGTGAAATATGAAAGCTCCTAACACCAACTGTTCAGAAGTTATGATGAAAGTTAAAGATTTACAAAAGTAGGTTATATTCCAAGATCACAGTCATGAGGTCAAAAAAGTTGGTACACAAAGATCACAAGGAATAAACATGTGAAATATGAAAGCCTGGCACCAACCGTTCAAAGCTATGACAGAAGCTAGACAGATTGACAGACCAAAAACTATATAAGCCCCGTATCTCCGATTATGGAGGCATAAAAAGTAAGCTGTATTTTTTTCTGATACATATAGTACTAACTAAATAACTATGAAAACATACCTTTCAATGCATTGTCAAAAGTGGTAACATTTTCAGTTTCCATAGCAGCATTGTCTGTTTCAGAAGATATGACCTTTGACATGTGAATACAAAGTCTGTCCACATAAGACATGGAGTTGCTAATGTAGGTAGTAAACGTTCCAGCCAATGACTGCTGAATGGCTTGTTTCTGAGGAAACTTGGTGAAGTGCTTGATCCAAAGTTCTAACTCCCTGATATTATGTTCAAACAATCCGGTACTGTGTAGCAGCTGAAAACAGTATATATAACATGCAGTTCATTTAAGAAGGTGCAATAGAGGAATATTTGTTAAACCATGATGCATTAAAGGGCAATATTTTTAATTACCTGTACTAATAAGAGTTCCACTTTGTTCAGCATTTCAGAGTCTGATATTTTGCACAACATATCTAACAGCAGGTAAATCAAAGAACGTCCATCTTGACTCTGAAAATATGGTAAAATATTTTAAACTTGAATTCCTTTGATTTGTCAAAAGAATTCCAATATTATGGCAAGAGCTCTCATTGACTGTGAGTTAATTTCAACAAATACTTTTATGCATCAGACAGTGCAATATTATTTAAAAGTATTCTATTGGCAAATAAGTACTGAAGCAGTATGAGCTTTTTCTGTAACAATGATACACACCTGTTGTGTCCAAGGCAGCTTACGTGCATCTGTACCAGCCAGGAGCTTCAACAAATAAAGCTGGGGTAACAGTGCCCTCTGCTGGTCATGTGACCTCTCTTCAATCTCCATGGCAACATCACCACTCTTCCCAGTGACTTCAAGAGGAGATAATTCCTCAGAGATTTTCCTGACACCTTCCAACAACAGACTTATGTCCCCTGCATTATCCACAAGAACAGATGGGGAGAACTCTTGCAGAAGACACAGAGCTTTCTCTATCTCAACCATGTGATCTGATTGCAGAATTTCTGGAACACCTATATTTGGTAAAAAGCAATTGTAACAAACACATTTTGTAATATTTTTCTAAATTCTGCCATTTAAAATTTTTAATGCAAGTTTGATGCTCAGGAGAAGTGACCCTCTATAAAAATATCTCATCTTACCCTCATCTTTTGTTAAGTCCTTCTCATCAGTCTTATCTTCACTGTTAACCTCTGTCCCCTTCATTGGAGTCATTTTCTGCTCTGACAACTTTTTAGGAAACAAGAGATCCCTCCAACAACTCATAATCAATTTACAATCTGGAAATATCTATATAAAGGAGAGAAGATTCTTCAGCTTTTCTTTCCTAACTTTGTTGGATGCATGCCTTACATGTAAGTGACAGTCAGACAGGTTTATTCCCCCATGTCCAGTTAGAGCACATGACTCAAGTTCAGGGAACATGGGTTAGAATCCTGGTCTGGTCATTTTTGGTTTGCCTGTTTGTTTTTCTTCAAAAAGTTGCATGTTACATACATATTTGGATACCCTTAACAATTACACAGAATACTGGTCAATCAATTTAAAATCTATAAAACAAGAACACAGATCTAGTGAAAATCCACCAAATATTTTTATTACATGAAATTACTACTTTATTGTGATTTTCTTCCAAGCGTTTAAATGTAAATATATGTTCAAGCTGATTTTTGATACAATAAACTATTTTTACCTTTAGAATATTTTCCTTGAAGAGTTTTACAATTTCCTGCCTCTCTGATTGGTTATAAACAGAAGATGAAGGCTTTACACTCTCCTCATTAAGGCAGTGCAGAAAGTTCACAGACTTCTGCAGTAGAACACCCAGAAACTTCATCCCAAAATACTGAACACTGGAATGGGGGTGCTAAGAATTCAAACATATTCAAACTTTTTAGTACAAATTCAATTTTGTATGTATATTCTATTTCCTCAAACAAAACAAATGATATGCAATCATGTTTACATGAAAACTACATGTTGTATATCTGACTTTTGATATTCAACTGATTTATGTTTTTCCTACCAAATAATGAAACCCAAAGTAAATATATTTTACTAAATTACACTTTACATTAGGCAAATATGTTTTGATTTCTGTTTTTGTTGTAATGATGCTGTTTTGTTTGTTTTGTTTTGTGATCAGTAGGCCTTCTCTTCATTGACAAACATAAACTAACTTCACATTTATCCCATATTACTCAGTGAAATCCAAATCAATCAACCTTAAGAGACTGTAGAACAGGTGTCAGAATCGCAGGTATGGGTATCAAGTGAACCATAACCATCTCCACGAATTTTACAGGTGAGTGATGCTGACTAGACTTCAGAACAACTGGACTGTCTGGCTGATGTGTGTAGATCTACAATATTTCATCTTCTACAGTCAATTGTGCATTCTAAATCTTCCAATCAGACTGTGACTTCAATTTCAAAATTGAGAGCATTAAAAGAAGCATATTTTTTTTTTACTTATCAAGAAATGAAATACTGTAAACATACTTATTTCTATGGGGTCATATTTCTGCAGAAACACAATCTGTGTTCAATCAGTGGGTTAGTTGGACTGTCTTTTTATGACTTAATGCACCTTAAGCATGCTGGGACAAATTTCTGCTTAAAATTTGTAACCATGTACATATATAGTGTTAATTAATCCCATGTGGAATAAAGTATGTCTACGGTACATGTATTTTTAGATATTTCATGATATTTTACTACATTTTCTATGCTGACCTCACACAGAAAGTTCATGGTAGAGCACCATCTACTGGTGGGTCTTGGTGGTATGTTCTTGATCAAACAAGGGAGATAATGCTGAATCTGATCTGGGCATGTTTTAAGAATCTGGCAAATTAGATCCTGTACTTCCTTTCCATCAACAGTCTTAGATACAGATGTCAGGAAATTGGTCAATAACTGATTCTGGTTTCTATAAAAAAAAAAATACTGAATAAAAGAACATTCTCTTCCTTATACATGTAGTCAGCAAGGTCACTGACTAAATAAACTATCAAAAATTTTTAAATGAAAATATCGATCAACAGCAAACAAGGAATTGTTACAAAAAAAAGAAAAGATATATATGGTATATTTATACATGGAATTTTCCCCAATAATTTAAAAGAAGTCCTTCATATTTATATATACATACATGCGAATCCCAGATGATCAAAATATTTCAATATACTAGGTGCAAGCAGGGAAATTTACATACATATGTACATGTTTAAAGTATAGAAATCAATGCATCCCCCACACTCATTGGTAAAGCTAAGGAGTCATTTGATCTGACTATTACGAAGTTATTGTAATCAACATTGATAATGTATATGCATGTATGATGACAGGTATACAGTAAACACATCTAAATACATATGAACATTATACATACTTTCCACCTGTCCCTAATGTTTTGTCATAAAAGTTTATGCCATTTTTGTGAGAACAACAAATCTCCATTAGTAGTTTATGTGCCATTTTTATCACCATCTCTTTATCTTCACTGGAATGTGTTTCAATCTGAAAAATTATTTTAGCATATACTATAAATAGCATTGTGTTAACTATTTGTGCAGATTGTTTCATCACATTAACCTTAAATAAATTTTGATACTAACTACCTAAAACATGGATTTTGTGTAATATTTAGGTTTTGTGTACCTCCTCTATATCATCTGTGTTGGTTCCCTCCCCTTGTTCCGGGTGCCCCGTCCACTTATACAGCAGACTGATCTGACTCAGGGAGTAGTCATTAAACAGTCGCAACTTCTGAGTTTTTGTAATGGTTTCATTCTCAATAACCTGTTACGGTAAAAAACAAATTAAAATCTATGTTTTTTGTTGTCTTTTACCACAGTGTTTATTATTGACATAATTTTTTTTTTTTACATACATGTAAGCCTGAATTCTTATTTACCTTTTCCAATAGTGTATTTAAGATCAGTTTAATGTTTGCAGCTTTGTCTTTTGTTAAACCATTAAACAAGGAGTTCAGAAATCCTGAAAATGAACACAAAAACATAAATGATCAGAAACATTGTAAGACTAACAGTATTGATGAAAAAAAATCAAAGTTACTCTTCAACAAATACATATGCAGATTTTATTATACCAATATGAGGCACTACATATTTTCTGCTACTTTAAAAACAGTTAAATCTACTTATTAATAAGACAATGTTTGATGATGAATAATTAATACTAGTCATTTTACAAAAGTCATGCTGACCCAGGAATTAGCCCTAAGGGTTACAAGTTGTGTGTATGACCCAAGGATTTTAGGTGTAGAGGGTGGAGGCCCATTGAATTGAGTTATTGTAAAATCACATATTTTTGTTGGGTCAGATTTTTGTTGTTTGAGGAAAAAATGCTGGTCTGAAGAGGTTTGATTTTGTGGTTGAAGACTTGTCATGTTGTCATACTTATGAAATTTTACTCTTCATGAAGGACATGTAATTCATGGGTATATATTCATACCACAAAACCAACAAAAATTAAACCTCCTGAGTCCATGAAAATTAGTGATTTCACAGCGCCAGAGTTGTGAATGACCCAGAGATTTGAGAATACTGACCTTTGATGTTTATAAGCTGCTGTATGACAGAGTTACTTCCCACCAAAAGAAATGACATGATAAAGTGAATAAGGCAAGTCCTTACATCCTGTGGATCCTATTATATAATAAATATGTCAAAGTCATGAAAATATTAAAACAACAGTTCTATTTATTAAGTGATACTCTTGTGATCTGCACTAATATATTTAAAATTTTTGCAGTACATTTTCAATGACATGCAAAAATATCATTTAATTAAATAAAATAAAATCGTAACATTTTCATAAAAATTCTACTAAGTCTAGATGAAATGCAATAATAAAAAAAATAATAAATTTAAAAAATATCTGTAACATTTTAAAAAACTTAAACATTGTATGTGCATCACTTTCTAATTTTTTTATTATCATTACTTTATAACTTTCATAGAGAAATTGATAAAGAGTTCCCATCTATAAAATTTTGCCAAAACATAATTTTATTCTATTCGTACCAATGATATCTAACCTTCAGGTCCCTCCTGTTAAACAAAGACTGGATATGTTTGTGGGAGGTGTCTAGCTGTGAGAGTAGAGCCTTAGCCCCATTTTCTCCCAGCATCACCAGTGCCCCTAGCATCCTCAGTGTTGTCTTCACAGCTGATGCCTTCACCTGAGGTCCCAACATAAAGTATACTGATGGCATACCCACAGACAAGATCTTCTGTAGAATGACTTTACCAACAGGAGCATGTTTGGTTAACCTTAGGTCATCTAAAAGGCGGAGCAGTATGGCTTCTAATACACCAAAGATGCTATGCAGCTAAAAAAAAAACAGTTAAATTACAGTTAGAATGTAGAAAGCACCACTTATTACAATAAATTACAATAAATCAGAATCTTTGAATGTACTCAGTAGGTATATAATTTTACATTTTATGTTTACATGTTAAATGCATTGACTCTTTTGATCATTAACTTTTAAATACTGTAATTTAAAGGACATGATTTATACAAATATGTTATATCATTCTCTGAATTTGGTGATCTTGGACAGACCTCTTTCTCCTTTCTCTTGCCTCCCTCTAACAGCTGTAGTATCTCGGTACACTCCGGAGAGGACCTACAGTATCCAGTCACAATGTCGTACTCATTGCTCTCTGATCCATACTCCTCTGCCTGCTTGACAAACTTGTCCAAAGCTAATATTTAAATTAAATTAAAATTGTATCATGGATGCTGTATTATTCTTATTATATTATTCTTATTTTATAAGCATTGCCCTTTAATTACTACAAGACGCTAAAGAACATCAACAAAACAGTTTCATTTCAAGAGCATAACTTTCAGTTATTTAATTTTACAGAAACATGGTAGTACCGTACATGTAATAAGAAGAAGAATATTCTAAAGATTGATGAAATAATGCTTCAAAAAATCTCAATCAGAATTTTAAAAAACCATGATGCTGGGCTTTGCATTTTACTTTATTTCAATTAACTCAAAACTCTACATGTAGTACATGTAACTTTACAATGTACTGTTAACATTTGTGCAGCAATACCCTATCTTTCTATTCTAATCTTTAGAATGCAATGTACTTTACTTTTTATTATATACCTTAATTCTTTCTGCAAAATTAATAGGATACATTGCCCTTGCTCCAAATATGTTTTGTAGATGTTCTTTAAATTCTTCATGTAGCAAAGAACACTGACTTCATAATGTGTACTGGCTATAACATGTAATGGGTACTAAGACCCTAATGTAATTATTATGATGTAAGTAATTAATTTTTTTCTGTATAATAAGAATTTAAGGGGAGACAGGACACATGTCACATGACTCAATTGACTACGTCATAGTCACTGTTAATATTGGTGTTAAACATTGTTATAATCACCTGTATTTGTATAATTTTTGTTCAACTTGTTGAGCTTAGACATTTTATGTAAAATATTTAAGAATTTTAAACGATCATGTAAATATTTAAAAATTGTGAAATCGATTGATCCACCCCTCTGTTTCTTTACGCTGCAGTCTAACATGTCCGTGACGTCATATATGATCTCTCAGTGCAGTGAGATCAAGTACACGTTGATTACCTGGTCGGTTTTAAAACAATAAAACAGATTACAGTTAATGCATCGTGATAAATTTTTTGAAGTAGGAATTACAATAATAATTTTTACGTGTTTGGTAGCAGAGATTATCTGACTTAATATTCCATTTCACTTGTGTAAGTTTTCGTGTGTTGTCACAGTTGTTTTCCCGTACTAGGAAAATGTTAACATGAAGCGTTTTTACCACGCTTATGTCTTGTTCATCTATGTCTTCCTTGATAATGAGGTAAGCTTCACCTTACGATATTGCGACATTTAATTACTACGAAGAAGGACCTCAGTTCAATCGTAAATTTTAAAATATTTATTGACAGATTTTTTTCCCAAGTGCATTTTTAGTCGTTGAAGCTGTCTTGAAAAGTGCGTAATTTATCCAGTCCATATATATATACATTGTGAAATATGAAAAAATGCCGTAAGAATTCTAAGCACTATTTATATTCTAAATATTTGAAGAGCTGCATGTCCTTATACATATTTTTTGCTTGTGTTTAAAAATTCCCATTATAGACTCAATAATGGACCCGTAAACACGAAGAACCAAAACTTTATACAGACACTGTATGGAGCGATATTTGTATGGCGATATCTCTTAAACAAGTCAAAAAAAGTGATGACAGAATTGCTTTAAGATATGTAGGACATACTAAATTAAAAATATACAAAATATGAAAAAAATTCATTGACTAGATTTTTTTCAGCCCAAGGTCTTGTTCCTCCTTAATACCTCTTTTGTGTTTTAATTTAACTCATTTGCATAGAAGCGCCCATATTGCACATATGATAAACATTTATACAATATAAAGTCAATTGAAAACTGCAAAACAAGTAGTATAACATTGCATAAATAATTTGACTAAATATATAAGTTGTTAATTAACACATAATTCATGTATAAACAGTATGATAACATTATATATTAGTTTTTATTATTGAATCATAGCAATCTACAATTTGTGATTAATAAACCCGGGGTTACTTTCTTTTAATTCCTGTCCATTTACTTTTAAGTAATGCTTCGTGAAATATTACAAAATCTGTCTTCTTGTGTACACATGCCATGGTACATACCTAAAAATGTCAGATTTGGATCCCTGAGCTCAAATTTGAATCTAATTTCTGTATATTTCTCATCCTCTTGCTTTTTCTTTTTTGTGGGAGAGTCGCTTCCTTTTTTATCTGATTTCTGTTTTCTTTTTTTCCCCGATAAAATTTTCTCTTTCATATTTCAATCCACCATGTGCACGTGTGTTTACTTCAGGAATTCGGAACTCTTCTATTTGTATCCTCGATTTCCATTGAATGGGTTTTTCCAATGATAAGCTCAAAAAGGTTCCGAAAAGGACCACACCAAATGATGACGTAATGCACGAGAAAATAGGATATACACAATCACAAGAGGAGAAGTCATCTTCTATTTACATTTCACAATAGATTTTTACATGTTCAGTTCCTGATTGTTGGGAAAAGAGATCAGCCATAGCTTCAAAATGTCTATGGACAGTATCCTTTTTCAAGATTATTCATATATTAGGCGGTAAGTGATGAAAAAGGCAAATGTACAGTGTTCTTGCTCATATCTTCCTGAAAATACAAAGCTTATTCTGAAAGGGCATATATTGTCATTTTTTTAAATTCATATGCTTGGCTAATGAGCTAGCTCCCCTGTTCTCTTTAGATTGAAGCTTTAAACATCTAAATTCATCAGCAGAAGTTTTGGGCAGAATAGTGAATACAATGTATTTTTAACTACTATAACATATAGGTGTATGAAAGTAATATAGTCCAATGCACACTTTGCAAAAGTTGTGTCCCTATGCGGGGTCAACCAAAAGGTCAAAAGGGAAAGAAATGACATTTCTCCTCTTTATACTACCAAACATTTGGATGTGCTTTCAATATTGCAACTTCCCGGGCCTTTCTGGCAAGCGTAAAAACAACCTTGAATGTGTTACAAAGGAACCCCCCTTTTCATAAACATTGAAATAAATGTAAGATGACCCCTTATCTGTAGAGTCTAGAACAAAACTTCATTGAATGCAATGATATCAGCTAAAATATACCTCTGAAGAGGGGACGATCAACTCTGTTTAGTCAATACTTAAATTAATAGGAAGCAACTCCATTTTGTATAAAATTTTAACATCCAGTGATGTGAATACATGCAAGGTGTTTTTGTGAGCTTTGCCAGAGAGGCCCGAGAAGTAGGGATTGGGTGTGCTCTAGCTGATAAATCCACTGCGTTTAATTTTTTTTCTTTCTATGTATGGGTAGCATACATGTGATTCTTCCGGCGGGAGACAAAATCTCCCGATATTTCACCCCCCTTCCGCCCCTCCCGATTAATTTTTAAATCTTCCGTGTTTTAAAATTCTTCAAATTAAATATTATTTGCAATATTTTTTTGATCGTGTTTCATATAATTGCTCAGAATGAAAAGAAATTGAGATAACAACGCCAGTGCAATAAATTTTCACAGCGGTAGGCTTCGTAGGAATCAACATGAGGTCGTATAATTATGTTGTAAAAATTAGTGATATATCAACTTCATAAAAGACCATTGATGTTTATTACTGAATGCAAAACATTGTAATTAGTTGCTAAAATACACAGTTGCCATCTTCTAATGCTGCTTTGGTCATTAAAAGATACAGTTATAATGTAGGTCACACTCTAGTTAAAAATAGATCACACTACAGGGTGTTGCTAAAATATACCTGACTCTAATTTGTTTATTTTTTTAGAGGGTACTTTTTTTCATCTGTACATTTTCTATTTAAAAAACAAATTACTGACATAGAATTTGTTACATAAAACCTTAGAATGTTTTACTTCATTTATTAGTTGATATATCAGTATTAAATCAAAAATAAAAATCCAATGTATTAAAGATGCTGTTAACTCTTAATTAATTTACTAGGAAATGAATTGATTTCATTTTGAATACTCAATTTCACTTCATTTAATAAAAACTTTATCATATTTTTCTTAAAACTAGACAACAACTTTATAAAATAAAATTTGTAAAGTAATAAACTGGGAGAAGGTATTTTTTCCTGAATTTTGGGGGTTGGACTTTTGCGATTTGAAAAAATGTCGATAAAAAATCTCCAGCTTTGAGACCCAAACTCCAGCTGAAAAATTTCAAATCTCCAGTTGTGATTTTTCAGTTCTGTCACATGTATGGGGTAGCCCCACTCTGGGGCAATCAGTATACAAGATTTAATTATATATATACACAGATGTTTTGCATTTGACAAAGACTACAAAGGCTACTGTGAGGATTCTATGGGTTTTTCCCCCAAAGATGGCGGCCACGGGACATAACTTTTGAAAAGTGTGGATTCAACTAATGAACTATAGTATAGTGACATTAATTGTATTTAATTCCAGTCACTTTGGTGTCTCTGAAAAATGGGTTTCCACCTAATACACATGTAATATGAGCTAGAGTAAGAATATGAGAGTGAGGCATGCTTCTGTGTCACTTTTCTGTCTAGTAAATGGAGAATCAAAAAAATACGATATCACAGTATGTACTATTTCAAAATCAAATACTGATCATAGCAATTCTAGTGATTTCTTGCATGTCAAAATTTACAAATTTTCCTAAAGAAAATTATTAGTATTTTGCATATTTCTGGATCAGCTTTTTTCTTTCATATGAAGATTGATGCCATTTTTTGTATCAGTATATTGTTTCTCCAATTTATCTATGTATTTTCCTTAATTGTGACAAAGAACATTTATTCAACCTTAAGTTTGCAGCCAAGGATCTTGAAAGGAATGCCAAAAAATGTGAAAAGTCAGAAAAAGAGGAGAAAAACAAATGTAAAAAGGTATGACAACACTTGAGTAATGAAGAGTTTATCAGAAAATTCAAATAAAAATTAATTAATAATTATGTACAGTAAGTTCTCAAGATGAAATATGCTTTTCTTTCTTGTGGAAGTAAAGTACGATTAGTATTTCAGAATCAAATTTGACTGTCAGATGTTTGGAGCAGTGAAGTCTTCAGTATCTTATTATTTGTTCAAGACATTAATTTTTAAAGTGAACCACATTTTCCAGGTTTCTCTTTTTGTTTTATGTATATATTACATTGTGAACAATCGTGTACATTTTCTTAATAGCATTTTAGCCTGATTTGTCTATTTTATTGCTCTGACCAATAACAGGCTATGCAAAAAGGTAATGCAGAAGGAGCAAAGATTCATGCAGAAAATGCCATCAGACAGAAAAACCAGGCTTTGAATTATCGTAAAATGAGTGCCAGGATAGACGCAGTGGCAGCCAGGGTACAGACCGCCGTCACGACAAAACAGGTATGAAATGTTATAAAACTGGGTAATTAAGCATTACAATATAATCAGGGTTGTCCCTAAGAATTGAAATAGCAGGGTAAATTAAAAAGGTAAACGGGGGTCTCTGGGGTCCCTTGCCTAACAGGGGGTTGAGTAGGAATACCAGAATAACCGGGGGATTACATCATTATAGGCGGAGAAATTCTCCAGCCCCCGCGTCTTAGGGAAACCCTGATGATAGTTAAAGTCATCAATATATTTCTCCATTTTGCAACTTTAATTTACTTCTTCAGTTTAATTTAATACCTCAATTTATAATTCCCAATGGTATGACCATGTATCAAAAGTGCTCAAAGGTTTATAAAACCTAAAATTTCAGTTGCAGATATTTTGTCTCAGGGACTGGTTTTTAATTGGTGATCAGCAAATAATAAATGTTATGTAATACTTGATATCACGATTACTTTACTTAATGGAACTTTTTCGTGGTGAAGGTAGGAAACGTCTGTTAGTTAGCTTGGGGCAATGTGCTGTAACAGTTGCATACAACGTGAGACCAAGCATTGTGGATTTTTAAAGGGCAGATATGAAAGAAGTCCAGGTGAAATATCTTGCAGAACATTCGCTTAACCATGCTTATAAATTTTAAGGGAACTTAGTCCTCATGTGTTACATTTTTATAGATACTTTTTCAGTAAGCCGACTCTTCTACTTAAATTCAAACATTTCTTTCTGATTATCATTACTTTTGGAAGCTGATAGAAAAAAAAAACTTTAAACATTCCAAATTAGACAACTTATTATTTGAAGTTCAATCCTTTGCAGTATATAGTACTTTCGGCATACTAATTGTTTGAATCATAAAGCGTAATTCATGCCCCGGAAATGAGAGATTTAGAGTTTCTTCAACTTCGCAGCAAAAGAGCAGCATTAAGATAGATAACTGTGAGGTAATCACAGTACAAAGTACTGGCTCACATTATGTGTCCCTTATTAAATTTTCATTGCAATGATTTGTCTCATATTTGCTTTGATGCATGGTATGTGAAATTTTCTTCAATTATTGCCTTCATATTCTGTTGGAAAATTTTAATCTTCACAGAAAAATTCCACTTTATTGTATAGACTGTAGTTCTTCCTGAATTTTATTTCTATTATAATATATCTTCTTAAGTTTCACTTACAGTGAATAGTGTTCTGATGTACTAATATGCAAACATCACTGTATCATCCTGTCCCCACCCACCTTCCATTTTTGAATTGGAAATGAAAAAAGAGCTGATTTAATTATTTTATTGCATCAATATTTAAGCTACATTTCAAAATATTGAAGCACATGAACACATCTCTGAAAGTTTGAGAGTTCATTGTAAAAAAAAAAAAAACAAGGTCATAAAATGGCGAGTTTTTAATACTGTTTTCATATTCATGAAAATTGTATGGGTTATCATCATATGTCATCCTCCTCTTCTTTATTTTTAGCCTTCCAATAATTAATAACTTTAATCATTTCAAAATCAATACTATTTTTTGCGACTGCATCAAGCCCATAGGAAATACTCATGTCCTTTGTCACATGATGTCGAACGACCTTAACCTTTCCATCACGACAACCAATCCATAGGATGTTATTGAACATTGCTAGGCAGTAGGGTTTTAAAAGTCCATTTTCCCTGGTCAGAAGATATCTAATAAATTGTCCGTCTGCAGTGATAACGTGAACACAATCATTAGTGTAATCGCTTACAAGAATGTTGTAGCTGACGTCACAACATACCATGGAAGGGTCAAAGGTTTTGGTAGAGTCAAATCCAGCGTAGTGGAACTTGAGAGCGCCCTCTTTTCTAAGAACCACAACTCTTCCAGTGTTACTGGTTAGAACATCCACAACACAGATGTCAGAGTTTCCATTCTGGACTGCTCTATATGGACATGCAAAGAGTTTGGTTTGCCCATCCAGTTCAAATTCATACTCCTTCAACACTCGGCCTACCTGGGTCATGTGCCAGACTAGATTTTTACCATTTTCAAACTTTGAAGTGAATTCTTCGGAGTCAAGGGTAACCAGAAGGCACCCATCAGACATCAAGCTAATTCCAAGGGGAGTGAGAGGCTTTGTGTCCTTAACCAGTGATATCACACCAGTTGAAGAGAGCTTTTTAATACTTTGGGCCATATAGTCATTGAAATACTGATCTCCGTTTTCCACTAGAGTGCAGTCGCCAAATGATGCACTGTGTTTTTGCTTCCGTTTTCGCTCCCCTTTTAGGGTAACCAAGGTACTGAAATCCTCAGACACCCCATGAATCCAGGCAATTTCTTCTGATTCCAGAGATATATTAGCAATAGTTTTTTCACCAATGCTGAACTCTGATATGGGCGTAGCATTCATATCAGAAACATTCTGGGCTTTTCCAAGCATTTTTTCCATGCTATTTATTTCAACATTGCCTTTGACAAAGAGAGAAAGTTCACCAAAACGAGAGATTTTTTCATGTGTCATAGACTTCATTTCCGCCATCATAGTCTTCAATTCACCATGTTCTTCCAAAAACTGCAAGTTGGAAGCCCGATTTCTCTCAAAACTAGCTGTCTTCTGTCTTATCTTTTCTGCGTGTGTTCGGAATCGAGTCTCCAGTTTAGTCAGCTTTGAGTTATTCTTCGTCAGTTCATCCTCTGACTGTTGCACTTGGTTTTCGATCAGTTTAGAGATAACACTTAGCATCTCACTCTCCTGTTGGTGGATCCTGTTAATTTTCTCTGTGGTCTTCTCAACATTTTCTAGCTTTAGTTGTTGAATATACTTTATGTTTTCACCTATCTGACAAAGATGCCCTTCTTGAATGTCTTTTTGTGTTTTGGTGACGTTTTTCCAGTTGACTGAGAATCTGGAGATGGCCCCCCATTCATGAAATGAATGCCTATCTTTACTGCAGGTTTCACAGATGGAAAAATCACAAGTCCAGCAATATAAACTAAGAGCTTTAGATGGGTGAGCCTTGCATTCTGGCAACATTTTTTCTTTCCTTACGTATTCCATTATACACTCCTTATCAAAGTACTATGAATGTTTTCCTCAGATCGCAGCTTTTTAGAGCATTTTGGAAAATAGTTTGGTAAAAGGAAGTAAAATGGCAGAGAAGTATGTATTTCCTCATTTTAAATCCATACACTTTGTTGTCTGTTTTTCAACACAATTTTTTTTTATCGTCCAAATTACAACATTGCTGGTTTGACAGATCTGTACAGGTGAAAATAAACAATGTAGTTCCACCAACACATCTGTCCATCAGTATTCAAGTTTTAACCATGAAGTTCTTGGTTCCTGTTCTAGTCGGGAAAGATTTTTAGAGGATTGACTATTTTAGATACATGTATGTGTACTTCCTTATGGAAATGAGTCATTTTCATATTTGTTGTTAGTGCTAAGAGTATTCTGTTAAAACACTCAAATTGATTGCTATTTATTTGCTTAATATATTGAAATTAGAAGTACCTCTTGTTTAGTAGGTTAATACTGATATAAAAAATAGTTGTCAGTGTTTTCCTTCACAAAATATTTAATGATAGAGCACCACTATACCTTTAAGGAAAAACAATAATTCTGCACTAAATGAGAAATATACTTGTACATTATTAATATTAATAGCTGTAAGAAAAAGGGAATATGAGAAAGCAATGGTGAATTTGAAATGCCCCATCAAAGTTCCCATTATGATTGCTCAAAGATAGTGTAAAGATTATCTACATTTTTTAAAGTTTTTGTCTGAAAGTTTTTCTTTTATATTATAGGTGACTGGATCTATGGCAGGAGTAGTCAAGTCCATGGAGTCAGCCATGAAGTCTATGAATCTTGAAAAGGTAATGCACATCTCCATAGAACAATAAATATAAAAGTATACAAACCTTCAACTTTTCAACTCACTATATAGAAGTTCATGTGTATAATTAAATTGTCTTCAAGTATGAAATTCTGAAAGTTGAAATCAATAAAACAACAGAAAATGATTATTAATAAGAACCTGTACATACATGTAATTAGTGCCTACACTAATTTAAAAGGTACTATTTTAGTAGTTGAATTGATTCATGTAATGTTAATCATACTAACAATGAATTTTCTTATAAATAATGTACCATAATTTTTCCTTAAATTACAATTTGCAATATTTATTGTCTGATAAATTGCTTTTAACTCAAGGATACTTGCATATTTCTTTTTTTCAATTGATGAGGGATTGACTAAATTGTTATTGATGATCAACAGGTATCCAATCTTATGGACAAGTTTGAGCAGCAGTTTGAGAATCTTGATGTACAGACCCAGGTGATGGACGCCACGATGAGCAATGCTTCAACTCTGTCAGCTCCCCAGGGGGAGGTGGACAATCTAATGCAGCAAGTAGCCGATGAGGCAGGGTAAGTATATTTTATTGAAATAGAATGACCTTAGTGTTACGCTATTATCTCCCCAGGGGGAGGTGGACAATCTAATGCAGCAAGTAGCCAACTAGGCAGGGTAAGAGCATTTTATTAAAATGGCACAGCCTTTTCAAAAATGGGCATGCAGGGATTATAGTCAGTGATACAAAAGCAGGAAAGAAGGATAGTACACTTGTGTCATACAATTCTTAAAAGCATCAGTAGAATGTAATATTATGTAATTTTATCAATTAAAAGCTAATTAAAATCAAAAACTTTAATGATGCAAAGAACATGTAATAGATTTGATGTATAAAGTCAAGTCTTTTCCAACAGGAAGTGTAGTAATGCTAAAAGTTTAAGTGCATATTAAATATCGTGTAAAGTGGGGGTCTAAGGTTTTCTCTGCTTTTTGCATAATTACACCAAATATTAGCTTTTTCATGTATGGAGTTATTAATGATTTTTTTTTTTTTTTTATTTCAGATTGGAATTAAATCTAGATCTACCATCAGCACAAGCCACCTCCTTATCAAGCACAGCTCAGGCCTCCACAGAACAAGTAGGTTCATCTAGATGGTCATGTTTTGTTTGTCAAAAAATAAAAATACTAATGTTCAAACAAAATAGAATTACATTTATTGCAAGTTTAAGCAACAGGGTACACACATAATATCTCAATGATCTGTTAGCTTTCCACAAAACTTTTGATTATCAAATTTTTTATGGACTTGGGCAATTCATAATTTTCCCCCTTAACAAGCAAGATAATATGACATTTTTTTTCATCCGTGCTTTTTTTTTTTTTTATTGAAAAACTATATAGCATATTAATATTTAAAAGTACGTGTAAATAAACAGAATAATGTTAACAATAGAAAAACGATTTTAAGAAAGCTGGACGTTCTTTTCATACTGTCCATATTTGAAGTGCGGAGGAATTGTGTTAACTCCATATCTCCATAAAACATGGCTCTGTATGTTCTGAAGGTATTAATTGTCTGTTATGTAGGAAGTAACTAGCTTCATTCATTCAATATGAGGTGTTAATGGATCTACAGTGACAAACTGGGATTTACCAGCAAAGCAAGAAAGCTGGTAATTAAAAAAGAATATTTGTGACTGTTACACCAGCATTAACCACCTCAGATTGAATGATGGAAACTAGATATGCTCAGATATCATTTGCTTGTATTTATTAGGTTCAATTGAAAGTAGTTTTCTAAATGTTTCTGGACCAACTCACATTTGAAACTCATATGTGTAAATTCAGTGCCAAACACATTTAAGTATAATACATTTGTATAAACTTTTTAATTTTTTTTTCTTTTCTTAGGATGAGCTTTCACAGAGACTGGCAAAGCTGCGACAGTTGTAGAATAAATTGTTGACAAGAGCAGTGAGAGAAAGCTGTAAACTGTGATTACAAGGGCTTCAAACTAGACATAATTGTACACCATAAGGATTAATTCTAAATACTGGCTGATCATAGCCAATATCCCCTTTTCTTCATACACAGATAAACTTTTAAATAGCACTGTTTGTAAAACCAAAAACCAAAATAGATTCCTCCAAATAGGGAAGAACTTGTTTTGTGAGATTGAGACACAATTATAGTGTTTCATTTTATTTGGTTAACTTCTTCCTACAAGTAAGTTGATTAATATGGTACATTGTATGTGCATATGGTATTTGCCATTAGACCATCAAGCTATTTATAAGATTGTTATTTTAACCGCAAAAAGATGCAGTAAATGTGTATCAAGTGGATCAAGTTCCTGTAACTTTTTCTGTGGTTTTTCCTGAGAGGCAATTAATTGTTTTTGTTTTTTAACTGTATATTGAATTTATGTCTTGTGTAGTTGCTGTAGAACATTTTATTGTCGTAGTATTTTCAGATTTTGTGAATTTTATGTTTGTTTGAAATGTAGACATATTCATCCATGTATATTTGAGGAGATATGTATATTTATGATATTGTCGAAATTAATTCTGAATTAAAAAACAACTATACAGGTAATTGTAGTTTGTTGTCTTTGATAATACATGTATTATATCACAGAATACCTATGATTTATATATAGTCAAGTTTGCTTTTATTTTGAAATGCCCAATGCTTTATAACCAGTTTTGGTGAAATTTACGAGAAATATAGACTGGACCTGAGATTATTCACAATTGATGGATTTATATTGTCGTGTGTATATCAAGGATATTCCAGAAAAGTGCAGAAAATCTGCAGGGAAAGTATGAGCAGTAAAAAGCCTTAAGGACTAGAAAGCATGCATATATCGCATGCACTCATATTTGAATATAGGAATAAATTATAGAAAGAGGGAAACCATACTGTAGTTTTTTTTTCAGAAAATGGGGGGGGGGGGGGGTAAATCAATGTGGTTAAGATTTTTTTAGTATAAATTTTAATTTTCCAAAGGGTTTTTACAGATAATTAAAACAAAATAGGCCTAACAACTGGAATCCCTCCTTCATAATAGCAGCTTTAGGATTTATCACATAAATTCATACTTGTCATGTTTTTAAAAAAAGGCCTTATAATTGCCAAACAAAAATGTTAAAATGTATAGACATATTTTTGAATAATGTTTACAGGTAAACTGTGGCCTGGTGTTAAGTTTTGTTTCTTAACCGCTGTTCTAGAGGTATCTTTTCGAAAAATGTGGGTGGCCCTTAAAAGGGCCGTGGGGTTTTATTTAGTGAACAGACTGCTCACTTAGCCTTCGCTGCTTTCTTTGCCTTTCTTGGGGAGCTAGGTCTCTTTCTTGCTTTGGGCTTGCTTTTCTTTGGCGACTTCCTCGCTGCTTTGGGCTTCTTAGCTGCCTTAGCTTTCTTTGGTGACTTGGCCTTTCTTGCTTTCTTTACTTTCTTGGCTGCCTTCTTCTTTGCCTTGGGCTTCTTTGCCTTGGGTTTCTTTGCTTTCTTGGTCTTTTTAGCTGCTTTCTTTTTTGGTTTCTTTGCTGCCTTCTTCTTCTTCTTTGGTGCTGCTACTTTTCCAACCCGGAAGCGTCCGGTCGCTCCATGGGCACTAGATCCCTTGGGTCTTACAAGAGCTCCACTTTTCAGTCCCTTAGCAAATGCAGCTTTCATCAACGACGATAACTGTGTGGTGCTTACCCCTTTGTAATTGGCGAGGATGTATTTTCTAATAGCCTGGGCTGAAGATCCTTTGCGATCCTTCATAGCTGTAATGGCGGCGCACACCATGTTAAGGGTCGTTGGATGGACGGCTTTCTTCGCTGCAGCTCTGGGTTTGGATGCCTTCTTCTTTGGTGATTTCCTGGCCTTCTTAGCTTTCTTTGGCGACCCACTTCGGCTACGGCTTCTAGACTTGCTTCTGCTTTTACTACGGCTACGGCTTCGACTCTTTCGTTTCGCCATTTTAGGGGTAGCTGGGGCCGGTGACTTCTTTGCTGCGGCCGGTGATTTCTTTGCTACAACCTTCTTCGGCGCTGCCTTCTTGGGAGAAGTCTTCTTTGGAGATCGACTTCGGCTGCGGCTCCTACTCTTAGACCGTGACTTGGAACGGGAACGAGATCGCGATTTAACCATGTTCGACGAACTGGCTGGAACTCCTGCAAAAACAAGAATGACGCTGGCAGCTGCTGACGCGGTATTTATTGACATGGCGCGGACGTAAAAGAAAGCTGCTGGTGCCCGGATGCCGAGAAGTCATGGCTGTCAAGAAATTTCACATATTTGTGCTTTCGATGTTACATTTTCTCAAAATTTTCATCATAACTCCGTCTCCTTATATTCATTTTGGAATGTAGTCTGATGGATATTATTGACAGGTATCATCTAAGGATAAGAATGCCGAATTTTCATCAAAGGTGACAATAAAAACGTAAATTTCAACCAAACATTTTGACCGGCATGTGACATGAAAGTTGAACCCAAGCAATATTACACATTAATTATGTGTTCTAACCCATGTTTAATGCTTGAAAAAAGTAGAATTACTTCTGAACTTTGTAATATTTCGATTGTATTAATATGATCATCTTGATCTCAATGTTTTTTCACAAAGAATAACAGGTCGGTTATCGACGGTCTTCGAAAACCTGCACGTTACTATAGAGTCATAACAAACTCCATTTCATAATTTAGTGAAATAAATACAAGTATATTCATATGATTTTTTGCCATTATTATAAGAAGGGATTGTTAAGAACAGTATTTATTAATAATTTTTGCAACAAAAAAAAAAAAAAAAAAAAAAAAAAAAAAAAAAAAAAAAAAAAAAAAAAAAACCGTCTAGGGCCTACCGACTTGCAAAAGACCTATGACAATGTTCAGATTTTAATTCTTTTATGAAGTTATTCAATTGTTAATTTTGTTGTATAGGTCCTAGATCTATTGCAAATTTAATTTCAAACATAATTTGTTGAAAATTTGGAACAAAATTCTCTAAAATTATTTTAGTAAAGCTATTCATAATGTAGCAGACAGTCTATGTTTTGCCTTATGTACCGTACCGAAAGATCAGAAAATGTACTCTTAGAAATTTTAACCACAATAAACAAACCATTTTAATTTATACTTTAGTACTAACATTAATATCCCTTTTCTAAAAAGTTTTTTTTAGTTCTAGAACCTTCAGCATTTTGATCGAACTATGATGTACTTTGTGACCTTTAAACTGATTCAATCAATATATTGACGGGCAAGATAGGACAGCCCATGCAGGGTTCCTTTTTCGCCAAAAGTTAAGAAATATTATTGTTTAGGAAAGTAAATTATAACTGTCCCCTTGAAATCCGTTTAGAGATTTTTTTTCAACATCACCTTGTCTTATGTGAACCCTTTCCAACACACAACCCATATTGTGTTTGCTGTCCCCCATCAAGGCATTTTTACTTGGTTCTTACTTGTCTTATTTCTTTTATTTTGCTTTAAATTCGGGATAGATTGTTTTCGTTCTTCCATTTTCTTGTTGTATTTTTGTACTATTTCTTATTTATTTTGAGAGAAAGAGAAAAAATTCAAAATTCCCCATTGCATATAAAATTCTTGTGCCGCAAAAATATTTATAATTAAATAAACTATCTATACCTTTGCCCCAGAATAATTTTTGGTCCCTTGAACAAATATGCATGTTTATTTTTTTTTAAATTCAAAAAGTGATTCAATATGCAACTACTATCTAATAAATAAATAGTGTAAATAATAGATGATGCTGTTTTCATGCTGTAAATATTTTTCATTTCATGATAAGTATATCAACACAAAGGAGAAAAAGAGTAATAAGGATATAGAATTTTCTGTAAACAAATTTTAAATTATTATAATTTCTCATTGCTCTTTACATCTATATATTTTTAATATCATACAGAAGCCCCGCCCCACCCCAAATCCCCCTTTTCGTATATATGAAGCACATTGTCCTGTTTAGAAAAAAAAAGTGATCAGCTCTAATACAGCTGCTTTTGACTTGCTGAGGCAGTTGTTTGGAGCAAGGGCTGTATCGCCCTAAAGGCGACATAAATTTAAATTATATTTGCTATGTTTATTTTTAAACAATGAAATACATCCTTTCTATTATCTTTCAACACTTGAAAACTCTTGTACATATTTCTGTTCTTATTTTCCTGTTCAAATGTTTAATTAGGTTTTACTTTTATGGCTCATGTGGGCCTTGGGTGAAATATAAGTTTCAAGTTTTAATAAAACATTACACACGCACACAAAACTGTGTGCCAACAACATGTACCGAGGGGAAATGAATGCATGGCCGTAGGAACCGGGGGGGGGGGGGCGTGCCCCCCCCCCCCAATAATTTTGGCGATATATATAAAACTATAGAAAACATATCTACTATGTGCTTGTGCCCCCTCAATAATAACTTCTGAAGACCTTATTATTTTTTTTGCTTGTCAAGAAATTTTGGTACTTGATAGTGCCCCCCCCCCCAACTAAAAATGTAAGGTTGTGCCCCCTCAAAATGAAAATGCTTCCTACGGGCCTGAAATGGGCGAAGTAGAGAAGTCCAGGCGCGGATCCAGGAATTTTTCCAGGGGGTGGGTGTCCCCATCTACTCTAACAAATGCCAAACTCGCAAATTTTTAGAAAAAAAAAAAAAATAATAAAATCAAATCAAATAAACAAATAAAAAAAAACGCAAACAACTTGCACACACTTGAAAAACCTATTTCATAGGAATCGGGTGGAGTGGGAGTAATGTTTCCTGAGGGAGGAAGGCCTAATGTCCATTTTTTTGGTTATATTTTACATGTATACAAATTTAATAACTTAACTTGAATCACGTTCAACCCCCATTTTTTATAGATCTGCGCATGAAGTCAATTAAAAAGGTAAAAAAAATTTGGAGGTCATATTTTATAAAGCCCCCTCCCAAAAAAAAAAATAATGAAATAATGATCTTCTCATGGATGATATTTGATAGATTTATTGTGATACACTTGTAAGACATATCAACAAAACAGTATCCCTGTATACGCATGAAGTAATAAAGAAAACAGAGAACAAAGAATATAAACTACTGATGGGAACATGTTCATAACTTACTATGTCATTTGTTATTATAAATGCTCCAACTTTAAGGTACAACTTACTGTTGAGACAACAACCCACGTTTATTTTGCCGAAAACGAGAGTAAAAATGATGCATCACTTTTCAAAAGGAATTAATTCAAGTGGCAAAATGAAGTGCTCCAAGTACGACATGGTTGTCTGCCTTGGCAATCTGGAAATTCTGACCTCTGCTCAACTTGTTTCAGGGTTTGGATCCAGTGTATTCTCGAAATAGTCGTCTGTAAATTGAATTTTTTTGAAATTCATATCGAAAACACTTCTTGCTAAAACAATATGAAGATAACGGTATGCATGTCCTATATTTTATCTTTTTTCTATAGAAACTCATAAGAAGAATTCAGAACGATTTATATATCAGTTGACTGGTAATAAACTCACTCTGATTTTCGCCCTTACTCCAAACAAACCTTTTCACAACTTATCTAATT